TGTCTAAAGTTGTTGAACTTGTCACCCACTTAAACACCAATAATCTTACTCCGGTTTACCAATCTGGTTATCGTTAGTTCCATTCGACTTCAACAGCTTTAATGGATGTTTGTTCTAATTTGTTTTTTTCCATAGATGCTCAGAATGTGTCGTTGCTTGCTCTTTTAGATATGAGCCCTGCCTTTGATTTTGTCAATCACTCATTACTTTTACGCAAGTTCCAATATTTATTTGGAGTATCGGGTGTTGTTCTTCAATGGATTGAGTCAAATCTTTCTGGTCGTACACAACAGATTCTGTTCAGATCTAACTTGACACATGTTAAAACTGTGTCATACGGTGTTCCACAGAGTTCGGTTCTCGACCTCCTCTTACATGTGTTGCACAATGCAGATGTTTTCAAAATCATTGACAGATATAATTTCAAGCATCACGGTTTTGGTGATAATATTCAGATCATTCCTAGTGGCCCCTTTGTCGTTTCGAAGATCTTGTCTTTATATTTAGATCATGTTTTTCGGAAATTAATGAGTGGATGATGGCAAATAGGCTTAAATTGAATCAATCAAAAACTCAGTTTTTACCGGTTGGCACCAGGCAGCAATTGGAAAAAATGAACATTAAGTCTATCAGACTTGGTGAGAATTTGAGTCTATCATTGAGAATTGGTGACATTGAACATTGAGACTTGGTGATTCTGATGTTAAATTTTGCGCATCTGTACGCAACCTTAGATTAGTTATTGATAATAATATATTTTCTAACGTTCATACTAGGGCAATTGCGTAGGTTTAGGCACATCAAACAATTTTTAAGTAAGCATAGTCTTCAATGTCTTGTTCATCTTTTTATCTACTCAAAAATAGACTATTACAATAGTTTTTATTACGACCTGTCTGATGTAAATATTTCTAGACTACGGTTGGTTTAAAATTGGGCTTCAAGGTTTGTTTCAGGTGGCTTTAAATACGATCACGTTAAGCCAATTCATTTTGCTCTTCACTGGCTTCTAGTTTATCAGAGTTATTTTCAAAATATGTTTAGCGGCTTTTAATTGTATTAAGGGAGTTGCCCCAAAATATTTAACTGACAAAATCATTTTTAGAACAATGTCACTGCTGAGTCAAACAGTGACACATTCAGGTTTGCTCTTTGTACCTGACACAAACTTGGCTTTTGGCCAAAGGAATTTTTCCGAAATAGGTCCTTTTGTCTGGAATAATTTGCCTAGAGACCTTTGTTATCCTTCGTTGTCTGTTTTTCAATTTTGTAAAAAGTTGAAACATTATCTTTTTGTCTAATCTTACCGTGCTAATGTTTTTTTCACTCCATTCATTGCATTGCTTTAGTGAAGTGCTACGCAATGTATTGCAATCATCGTTACCGCCTCTGAGATCTTTTTAAAGGGCACTTACAAACACACCAATTAATATTAATATATACATACATGCTCACATACTTACTCGAGTGTTTGTTTCAATACTTTTCTGTCCAATGTCAAAGTTGTTTTTTCTGTGTGCCCTAAGGTTCTATTTTATGGGCTCTTTCGTTTATATTGTACATGACCGATGTTTTTCCTATTATTGAAAAATATGGTTTCAGATACCATGCCTTTGCCGACGATTTGTAAATAGTTGTGGTAACACAGACCTTGGCTTTGATGCTATGGTTGGTAGATTTGTATGTTGTTTTAATGAATTAAGTGATTTGATGGTAAATAATAAACTAAAACTAAACGAAAACAAAATACAAATTCTGCCTGTCGGTACTTGCCTGCAATTAAAAAAGATGACTATTAACTCCATCAACATCGGTGGTTCTTATGTTGAGTTCTGCACTTCTGTTAAAAATCTGGGCGTTATAATTGATACAGCATGGTTAAAGATTGTTGCTATCAACTTCGCAAACTCAGGCAAGTAAAAAAAATCAGTCAATAACGACACCTTGAATTGTTTGGTTCACGCATTCATTCACTCAAAATTAGATTATTGCAACATCATTTTTTACGGAGTTTCAAATCATTTGATTAATCGTCTTCAGTCAATTCAAAATCAGGCTGCTAACATCTTTTCCGGAGGGTTAAAATACTATTCATCACTTGCAATTACGTTCAGATGATCAGTTATTTTTATCGGTGCCAAAAACAGATTTGATGGTGGCCAATAGGAATTTTGCCGCTGCTGGTCCACAAATTTGAAACTCACTACCATACAGCCTCTGTCAACCTGGTTTAACTATTCAGAAGTTTCGCAAAAATTTGAAGACGTATCTTTTTTCCTGATGATTCCACCAGACGAAAACAGCGTCTTTGAGTTGCATTAAAGGGCACTATATAAATTCTCCATACATACATACATACATACATACACACACACACACACACACACACACACACACACACACACACACACACACACACACACACACACACACACACATACATACATACATACATACATACATACATACATACGTGCATACATTTTTTTCGCTACGTTGGGTTTAGCCGTATTTGATTTTTTCTGCGTTTTTGTAATTTTTGTGATATTTATATCGAGGTTATATTGTTAATTTTGGATCCCTTTTAAAGCATAAATTAAGAGGAGTATCATCGTATTTTTATTTTTTGAATTAGTTAACAATTTAATTAAATAACTTAATTTAGAATTAACTTGTAATGTTATATAGCTTTTTTTAAATACTAGTTGAATATAATTTGTTGTCGTCAACGCATAAGGAGTGTTGTGTACGAACATTAACTTATATTCTAACGTTCAATATTATAAATTGAAAGTTAAACTGTTTTTTGGTGAAAATGAATAAAAATAAATGTTTGCAATGTTCAGAGGCGAAAGGTCAGGGAAAGGCTGTTAAATGTTCTCAGTGTGAGTACTTTGCGCATGCGAACTGCACAGCTGTCTAGGTTATTTTTTAAAGAACTGATTTCTATTCTGGAAAACATTACAGTTCTCGAATTATTTTAACCGTGGACTTCAATGTGCACGTTGAAAAGACGAATGATCCTTATGCTGCTAATTTAAATGATATCTTCGATAATTTTCAACTCATCAATCGTGTAAAAGCACCAACACATTTACGTGGTGGTACACTAGACTTGATAGTAACCTCCGAGGATTTTCCAGTTCATGATTGTTTAGTCCATTCAAGTGGAATTTATTCTGATCATAGTTTTATTTGGGCTGAACTGTCGATGACTCGAGGATATTTGGTTGGAATTAAAAAAGTTTCTAAAATGTGGAATCAGATGAATGTTGATGACTTCATCAAACTTGTGCTTGAATCTCCACTCATCAAATCATGTCAAAGCAATGAGGTAGACAAGGAATTGCATTTATTTAACAACGAGTTAAAATCTATTGCTGATAAAGTTGTCCCTATTCGTGCAGTGACCACCAATAACGTTCGTATGGCTCCGTGGTTTGATAATGATTGCAGGTTAGCCAAGCGTTTGTGCAGAAAAATGGAAAGAAGATACAGAAAAAGTTCACAGTTGATTCATCAAAATGAATGGAAGACTGCTTTGAAGAATAAATCGGAACTTTTCTCTAAAAACGTCGTCAGTATTGGACAAAAATTGTTGATGACAATAAGATGAAACCAAAAAATCTTTAGCGGGTTGTGAACAGCATTCTCTGTAGGGGTCGTAACGATAAATCCTGCTCGGATATGGATGAACTAACACCTGATCAATTTATGTGCTATTTCAATGAAAAGTTAAGCAAGCTGAGAGATAGTGTCAACAACGATGCTCAACCGAGCCTGGCAGAATTCCAATCAGATGTCAATAATAGTTTGTTCTCAACGTTTTCTATGGTTTCTGAAGAGGAGGTAATACAGTTAGTTCAAAATTCACCTATAAAGTCGTGTCAACAAGATGTAATACCTAAATGTTTGTCTGGGGTCAATAAGTGAATGCAAAACAATGGTTTAAAACTAAACCAAAACAAGACTGTTTTTTTACCAATTGGAACATGGTAGCAACTTTCAAGAATAGATATAAATTCAATAACTGTTAATGATGAGGTCATCCCATTTTGTCAGACAGCAGCTAATCTGGGCTTCATGATTGATTCAGGTTTGTCAATGAAACAACACATTAAAAAGCTCTCAGCCAAATGCATGTTTCAAATCAGGAAAATCAATCAAATTCGACGATCCCTAGATACATCCACGTTGCAGACGTTGGTCCATGCATTTGTGCACTCACGCGTCGACTATTGCAACAGTTTGTTTTATGACTTACCTGATCGATCCATGGCTGTACTTCAATCAATACAGAATCGAGCCGCAAAAGTTGTTGTTGGAGCTCTAAAATACGATCATGTGTCTCCAATATTGAAGAAACTTCATTGGCTAACCGTCGACAAAAGAGTGTTGTTCAAAATTTCAACACTTGTCTACAAGTCTATCAACGGTCTAGCTCCATCTTATTTGTCTGACAGGTTCAAAAAGAGATCTTCAAAAGCATCTGGAACACATTTGAGATCCGATGTTTCAAACCTGCTGTTGATCCCAACAACGAGTCTCCGTATAGGCTCTCGTAACATTGCTGTTTCTGGACCAACTGTTTGGAACAACCTGCCTGCTGCTCTCAGAAATCCGGACCTAAACCTGCGTGATTTCAAGAAGAAACTGAAAACTCATTTATTTTCATTGTAATGCATTATTGATAAATTTTTTCTGTTTAGTCGACATGTTCTAAATATTATTTCGTATTTTCGTTATATTGAATCGATTACTTTTCTGTTTATGACCAAATTTTAATCTTATTTCTGTGCGATGTATTATGATTTCTCGTTTGTTATTTCAATTATGTTGTTAAGTTCAGTTTTTGTTAGATAGCGCTTTTGAGATTCGTTTAATTAGCGCTTCATAAATGTTTCAATAATAATAATAATAATACATACTAGAGGCCTGCGCGGGAAGACATTTTCATTCCCTCACCCTTCCCTTCAAAAAATATTCATTCCCGCACTCACCCTCATGACTTTGTTCCCATTCCCTTCCCTTCCTGCACCATAAGCTTCCCATCCCATTCCCGCACCATAAGCTTCCCATCCCATTCCCGCGGCAACAAAAATCTAAATAACAAAAATTTAAATACAGTTTATTAAGATATGAAAATAATATTTAAATTCATAAGTATTTATTATAAAAAGTAATGTCAATGGTTTAATATGTGCTGTTAATAAATAAAAGTTTATCAATACTATCGGGAGACAAATTTGTTCGTTTATTCTCTATAGTTCTACCAGCTAATGAAAATAGTCTCTCAGACACCTTACACCAATTTTGGCGTTTATTTTCGGGCAGGCCTTTGTGTGGTTCATAAGTCCGCTGGTTCCATCTCTCTTCTTCCACTTCAATAAAACTTTGCAGTTAATGCATTCAATAAAGTTGCTGTAAACATCTTCCACATTTACCAGCACAAAGTTTCCCCAAATAGAACTGACTGCATTGCTATTCGGAATAAACTTTATTGCTTCACTTTTACTAGCAATCAGTTTGAGAAGATCGCATCGCTCCATTGAAACGAATATCAATAAATTAGAAACTAAATTAAAATTTTGACTAGAAAACAAACTTATCTCAGAACAAATAACCAAACTATCCGCAATGAAAGATGGAGAATGAAGACTCGTGAAACAAACGTAAACAAAGAGCTATTTTCGTGAAGCAAAGAAATTTAAACAGTTTTAAAAAAAGTAAGTTAAAAATTAAATTACGTATGTAACTTGCTAATGGAAAAAATTTCCCATTCCCATTATTCCCGCGGTATTTTACCGATTTTTTTTCCCGCTAACGCGGGTACCCTCGAAAATATTTTCCATTCCCGCGGGTTTCCCGCGGTTTTCCCGCGGGATGGTTTCCCATGCAGGCCTCTGATACATACATACATACATACATACATACATACATACATACATACATACATACATACATACATACAAACATACATACATACATACATACATACATGCATACATACACGATACATATATATATATATACTAACATACAATGATAAAAATACATACTCACACATAAACATATATATCCAGACATACATTTATAGACATACATTCACAGACATACACAGCAAACATACATATACTGTACATACACCCACACACAGACACGCATGCACAGATACAGACATATGCACGTACAAGCAGACAAACACAGTTAAACAAGGAAGAGATGCCAGTAAATTGAATGATATTATTGTTATTCGATCCTGTTTTCCACATGAGTGTGTGGATGTTCGCGTGGAGAAATGATTTTTTGCTAATGTTATTTATTGTTAATGTTGCTGTGATTGTTGCTGTGGTTGTTAATGTGTTTGTTGTGTTTGCTGTGTTTGCTGTCTTTCTTGTTGCCTTTGTTTTAGGTGTGAAGTTATGTTAAACGATGTTAATGTTATGTTATTGTAGGCGAAGTCGTTGTTAATGTTTACAATGTTTACATTTATCAAGTTGTTGTAATTGATGTTGTTGTAATTGATGTTGTTGTAAGTGATGTTGTTGTAATTGATGTTGTCGTAGGTGATGTTGTTGTAGGGGATGTTGTTGTTGTTGGCGCTAATAGTCCTAGTGATGATAGTGATAAGCATGATTCAAGCAAAGTAATTATATTTTATTTCTTGGAAAGCGCAAATGATTTGGATCTGGCGAGAAGGTGAATCACTTCGAGGTGAGCCAGCGAGTGTGTAGGTGCATGCATGCATCATTCATCATGCATCATGCACAATGTATTGGTTTTTCTAAACGATCTTTTCTTCCGTCTTCTGTTTTTTTCTTTCAATCTCTTGCGGTTTTTTTACATTTTTTTATTTTCTTTCATCTTCTTTAACGATCTTTTATATTTTTTTTTTTGTTTTTTAAATGTTATTTGTTCTCATGTTTTTCCATTTTTTTATGTCCTCGTTTTATGTTTTGTTCTTCATGCTGAGTTTTCGTATGCTGTTCACTTAAGTAATGTTCTCTTATGTAATGTTCACTTATGTAATGTTCTCTTATGTAATGTTCACTTATGTAATGTTCTCTAATGTAATGTTCTCTAATGTTGTGTTCTCCAGTGTTTTCTTGCGTTATGTTCTTTTGTGTTATGTTTATCATTGCTTACTTATTGTTGTTAGGTGCCTAACAAAACATTGCGTCTGTATGCTAGGATTTGTTACTTTGCTTGGTGTTGTGAATTGCGGGGTGATAGTAGTAGTAGTAGTAGTATTAGTAGTTGTAGTAATAGTAGTAGTAGAGTAGTAATAGTAGTAGTAGTAGTAGTAGTAGTAGTAGTAGTAGTAGTAGTAGTAGTAGTAGTAGTAGTAGTGGTAGTAGTAGTAGTAGTAGTAGTAGTAGTAGTAGTAGTAGTAGTAGTAGTAGTAATGGCGATGGATGGTGATGGTTGTTGTTGTTTGCAGGGTTATCTTTTTTTTGTTTAACCAAAGCATGAAGCATGTTGGATAATATTACGTCAATAAATGACAGAGTTTGCACGTGTAAGAATGCACGAATTAAAACTTTCTGTTTGTTTTTCACGTTTATTTTGTTCGTTTTTGGTTTCCGTTTGTGCGTTCGTCCGGTTCAAAATTATTAGATGTTTGTATTTTTTCAGTTTTTTGTCATGGTGATGTCATATCGATGTCATTATCATATTATAATGATGTTACGATTATGTCGGGATGAAGTTATAATGACGTCATAAGGATGTCATGATATTATGATGGCTTGTTATGGTGTAAGGATGATGTTATGATTTTATGGTGATGTCATGATGACGTTATTACGATGATGCCATGACGATGTTGTGCTGATGTGGTGCTGATGTCAAGATAATGTGTTGAGAACAATCCGCGTTACATTTCATTTTGCGACCTCTCTATTAACAATAAGAATATTTTAAATTATTGGTCATCAACAGTTCGGCAGTGTTTTTGAGGAGCAAATAATTGTATCCTTGCTAGGATAGAGACATGGGAAAAGTTTGACCATCTAGCAGTTGATGCAGTTCACGAGTTGGATGTTCCATCTTCACTTTTTCAATAACCATCAAATTTGTGTAATTTTCAACAAAGCTATTTAAATATTTTACAGACAGAGTCGAAATAACACGTGGCGTCGTTAGTCATAGTCGGCCATAATTGCTATCTGTTGTTTTGGAGGCTGTTAAGTTTCAGGATGAGGACAGGATGACAATGCCACCTTTATTTCAGGTCCCACAAAGTGTGCAAATAAAAAACACCATCTTAATTTTCATGAAAAGCATCGTTAAATAATATCATTGACAATAATATCAATAATAACATTCCTATGGACCAATTTTTATTTAACATGTCGGCGGATTCAACAGCAATTGCACCAGCGATCGCTTCACCAAAATTGAGCAACGGGTAGAAAAAGAATAAAGAAATTCAGCTAGCGGATAGAATACACCTAAATTTTTATAAAGAGAAGTTCGAAAAATTACAGCAATATAAAAAGAAATTGAAGACCTAATGTACAATAAGACAATCAAAAGAGGACAGGAGCAGTAAAAAAAGCACTTTATGAAGCTATAACGTTTCTTTTTTTGCATTAAATAAATACATGTGACGCAAATGTCTTAACAATAGAGCTAAAAGATTTTTTGACACAATTGTATTTAAGCAAAAGAGGACAGGAGCAGTAAAAAAAGCACTTTATGAAGCTATAACGTTTCTTTTTTTGCATTAAATAAATACATGTGACGCAAATGTCTTAACAATAGAGCTAAAAGATTTTTTGACACAATTGTATTTAAGCATATTGCTCTTGTTAAAATTTGATACAAAAAAGCGAAACAATTTAGTTTTGTGCACTCCGGTCGAAAACGACAAGTTCGAAACTGTAATTTGTTTATGTTCGTTACTGCAGTATTTCTTCAATCTGCTCAAATTATAAAAATGACGTTATAAGCTAACATCGATCTAATTAAAGGGGAAGCCATATACATTTTTTGTAAATATTTCCGATTGTCGTCCATGTTTGTCTCGACCATAAATTCTAAATAACCGACGCCTGGCGATCATACCTATACACACCTAACTACATCGAAAGATATTTTACCCACCGCTCGTCAGATATCCAGCGTGTCAACTGAAACAAATCTCTCCCGTTTGCAGTTCAGCGAACAAATTCACCTGTGAATCTCCATTTTTCAATTAGTGGCTCACTAACCTCAGAAAAAAAAAATAAAAATATATATATAGACTTTGGATTGAAAGACTATTTTCACCTATATCTCTTACTCATTATATATATATGTACATATATAATGTATATATAATGTAGCCCGGATTTAGAGAAAACCGATAAATTGCCCTTCCTCGTTATCAGCTGGTTAACCATTCGTATTATAATATATGGAACTTCCTATATGAAAATCTATTTCTAGTTAGGATGATTTAACCGGCTAACATATCATCATTTTAAAAATAAAATACGATGAAAATAATTCTTTACCCTTTGTTCTTTAATTGGTAAAATCATACATCTTTCAACAAAGGGCAGTTCTTCGACCTTACATATTGGCAGAATTGGCATACCGTTGACGTTTGCAGTCGGCATTCGTCATTGGATGTCTGCCCCATAAGCTCAACGATTTCCATTGTTTCTAAATTTAGCTAACATATATTGTTTAAATACCTTTTTTTATGTGACTTTAAAAACAGTTTTCAAGTAGCAAAAATAGTGCCGTAAGCCAAAAAAGTTGCCAACTTATTTCTGCCAAATTTAGGCCCCACTCATAAGCTACCAGCTTTATCCGCCTCGTCAGTTGTCCGGATCCACCCATGTATACATACAACCAGGAACGCTCAACTATTATTTCTAAAGATTTTCAAAATTTTCTACAAAATAAAAAAAAAATATTTTAAATCCTTTTTTCAGAAAATAAAACATAATCACAAGAGAACTTAAAACTTCTTGTATCATATCATGATTCAAAGTGTACTTACTAATAAGTGATATCGTTCAGAAAAAATATAACTTGATAACTTGTTGCTACATGTATATCAAATTAGAATTGAACGAATTAGTTAGTTTTAAGTACTCGATAAATTTCTGAAAATTAAAACTTAAAGAGAAGACTCAATTGAGTCTCTCATATATTTGGTTGCAACTTGTAACCAATTACTCCTTCAAGTGAGCAACTGCTCCCTCCTTTGCCTGGTGAGCGTGCAACACTGCCACTGCCTCTTCAACCTGTACAAATCATTTAACATTTTATTATTATCATTTATTATTTATTTAACTCTATTTTATTCTATTTTTCATGTTTAAACATTTTTTTTCTTCGTTTATTTCTGCGTCTGTCCGATACGGATTTTTAAGTAATAATAAAAAAAAATGTTGAAATTATTAGGAATTTTTAGAAAGATATATAAATATCAGCCATAATTCAAACTGTCATCTGCAAATATAAAATTTGTTGTGAGAACCTTGGCCTTGAGAGACTCTCTCGATTCGAGCATGTGAAGCAGTTCTGAGTTGTCGATCTCGAGCAACATGCCAGTGATTTTGCCTGCTAGTTCCGGGTACATGATGTGGATGAGTGGGAACAACCTCTCACCCAGCATTTGTTTCTGTTCTTGTGGTGGCGCATCTGCCAACATGCTGGCCGTCAACGGCTCTTGTCCTGTTGCCAGAACTGCCTGCTGTAACTGTTCGTTTGGTAAGCAAGCAGCAGTTTGTCAAATTTTTACAGCAACCAATCAATTTGAAATAACGACTAACGAACGCCATTCAACCAGTGAAATGCAACAAAATTAAACATCCGTGAAATAACAAAATAAGGATTAAATAGACGTCGGCAGATGATTGCAAACCAAAAATGAAATCTGCTTTCATAGTGGTTCAGTAATCTAACTTTAAATGATGTAAATAAAAATTGTGAACGATATTTTTGATATTTTGAGAACGAACGAGTTAAGATGAACGAAATGAACAAACGTGAATGCGGCAGATACATAGGCCCTCGCTTATAAAACATTTTGGAAACGTGCAAAGATTCTTATCAATTTTAAACTGACTTCCAAGTGCAACTCTCAAACTAAAACAATTTTTATTTTCTACTGTCATTATCACTCTGCTTAATATTAGCAGATGGCAAATACTAATGGTTAAAAGGGAGTTGACTTTAATCTCATTCATGGACCAAAAATTTTAAAAAACAAACTAAAAAGTTTTTACGATTTTTTTTGTCATTTACTCATTTAAGACATTAAATATTTTTTATTTATAATAAATTTCTAAAATATTTAGCATTTATAAAGCAATGAAGCAAGCACAGGCTTAATTAAATATGATTTGGCATGACAACAAGGGAAGGGCCTACATATCTATAAGACATATGCATGAATGTGGTGGGTGAGCGAGAGAGCGAGATCAAACCGGAACATTAGACAGATTCCTGATGCCCTTGTTAAACTGCATTGGGGCTTGTTGGGCCTGCCTCATCATCTGCGGAATTTGGGCCTGCATGACTTGCGGTGGCATGACTGTTCGTCCCTGCATTATTGACTGGCCTGAAATCGTCCTTCCCGTCATCGTGGCTGGCCTCACAGTTCCCCCTGCTATCGGACGAGTAGGTCGCACTTGAGATAACTGAGAGCCAGTGTTGGCAGACATCTGCATCATACCTATATAATTATTATTATTAATCATCATCATCATCATCTAATTCATTGCATAGCAAGTAGCAAGAAATAAAAGCAACATTTGCGATTGATAACACATAACATCAACAACAACATATAACATCAACTAAATTAACAATAACAATAACTTCAATGGCAATATGACAGCATCAAAATACAAACAATTTCTCAGGATCAGCAACATATCAACAACATTAGCAACAACAACGTAAGAACAACCTACCTGCTTGTTGTTGTGGCCTCATGTTTTGTGCTGGATTCCATCTCTGTCTGAAGTTTGGAAGGCTTGGAGCATAGAAGCCTCGTTGTGGGACGTAGTAACTCTGGGATCCTGGGAAGACTGGTGCCATAGGATTTCCTGGCTGTTGTTTGTTGTTGTTGTGGTGAGTTGTGCAAGTATGTTGTTTGTTGTGTTGAATGTAATTTTTTCATTTTTAAATGGATGTAAGACTTTCATATGAACATAATAAAAATTAAATAGATAAATTCGTATGCACTAATCCAAATTATTTTAAATAAATAAGACTTTATATAACTCAAAAACTGTTTTGTTACAAACTATTGATACAAAAGCATCCAGCTGAGTCATCATCACAAAATATGTCCAACAAACCAAAGTCAGACAACCACCATCCACGCTTCAGCATGACTTACTGGCACTCTCAATCCAGACAATCGCTGAGCATACTGAGCACTCAACTGTGCCTTCCTCTCGTCCTTCCTCTGAGCAAGTGCTACGTAGAGAGGCTTGCCTCCAACTATCTTCCCATTCATCTCCGTTACTGCCTTTGTAGCCTCTTCAGGAGAGTTGAAGCACACAAATCCAAACCCTTTCGATCTTCCATTCTCATACATCACCTGCACAAAAAATGCAGAATTTGCTGGCAAAAATATTCAGTTATTTAAATGAAATATTGAAAAAAATATCAACAGAACCAATCAACTAACCTTAGCACTGGTGATCTTCCCAAAAGCTTTGAACTCATTGTTGAGTGCTTCATCATCTACCTTGTCATCCAAGTTTTTCACATACAAGTTCACACCTTGGTACCTTTGAATTAATCATTGTCAACATTTCAACAAGCGTCATCATCATCACTTTAATACAATCATACATAGCAACCACATTATCTCCTTAATTGACATCAGCATCATTTCATTAGAGACCAGACAATGCAACAGTAACGACGATGATACGCATACATACACACAAAATAATGAAGATGACACATACAATACAATAGTAATGATGCCAATGAATACAAAGTAACAACGGCACATACAAAACAATGATGACAACATATACAAAGCCAGCAACCTGCTCAATCTCTCCATCTTCAGTTTTTCATGCCTCTCTTTCAATTCAGCTTCTCTTTCTGCCTTCTTCTGTGCACGCGCCACGAACAGCACTCTGTTGTTTCCCAGATCCATGTTGTTCAGATCATCAACAGCCTTTTTGTTGGTTTGCAAGCATGGAAATGTGTGCATTCATGTAGAAATGTGTAAAAATCACAATGGGCACTATAATTCATTCGGTCCGTCCGTATCACTAAACAAAATAATTCACCCGCCGTTAATGCAATCGCTAGTGTACCACAATATTCAAAATTTAAATGATTGAATAATGCATGGGATGGGCGAATTATATCAATTACTACGAGATCATGCACGTGTATCTACAGGATATGTGCCAGTGACCAGTCCCTCAATTTTTTCAACAAGAATTTTTTTAATTGTTACTCAGTTTATAAACAAAATTTTTAAAAAATATTCATTATAATCCGAAGAGCTTTGCAAACCTTCTGTGCACTTTCATGATCTGTGAAGCTCACGAAACCAAATCCTTTACTTTCTCCAGCCTCGTTACACATCACCTGGTTGTTGAGTTCATTATACCATCGTCACCATCATTCATCAATATAACCATTGTCAACGTCATTAAATATTTTAGTGTCATCTTTTACAACCAATCAATCTTCGTTTAGCGTCCAGAGACCCAGTTCCCCAATCTTTTACAAACAATATAGCAAATTTAACTTCAGCCAGAAAACTCATAACATCTTATTTCATTTGCGATTGGCAAAAGCACTGTCACCAGCACCATCATCATCACTACCATCATTGTCATCTTGCCAGCATGCAGTCACCAAGATCCAGAGATATATGAGATATAGTGATTAAGATAATGATGACAACAACCAACAAAACAAGATATAGCATTGCATACTGATGATGACAAGTGACCAGAATGACAGCAGTAATATACGTCATGACATTTCATGATTAAGGATGTACTCCAGATAGGGTGAAGTAATTATATGATTAAGCAAAACTGAGCCACCCGTTATAATGAGCCAAAAGTATATACCATGATAGGAAGCACGATAATGAATTGATGACATAGATGATATAATAAAGGATAATGAATTGATAATGTAGATGATATAATCAAGGAATTATATATCACTATAATGAATTGATTACGTAGATGATATAATCAAAAAAGTATATATCATGATAGGAAGTATACATCATGATAATGAATTGATATAATCAAGGATGTATATCAAGATGATGAATTGATGATGGGATGATAATTAGGGAAGCATCCACAAATACAATGAAAGAAGTACTTGTAATTCTGAGTTGACTACAAAGATAATGACTAAGCAATGAATATTATATGACGAAAAGATGTAATCACTAAAGAATTGAAGCATGATATATCAGCTGATAATGAAACAAGATAGCATGATAATCGAACAACTGCACTGACCTTACAGCTGACCACAGTGCCACACTTGGAGAAGAGATCCCTGAGTTTGTTATCATCAAACAGGTCGTCAAAGTTCTTCACGTAGACGTTTGTGAACTTCTTCGCCTGATCTCCCATCACTTCAAACCTCTCTTTGCGAGTTTTGAATTTGCCAACAAAGCTTTAATAAAAAAATGAGAACTATTTATATTTTACCAATGAAATTAATACTTCTTAAATACTTTTATAAACTAGATTCAATGAAAAAGAATATAAGTCGATGAGAAAAATTGAAATTTGAAAGAAATTAGCAATTAACGAGAGATGTAACAGGCAGCACCATGAGCATGTGTGCAATGGTGGGATTGAAAATGTCTGAATTTTTTGTTTGCAGGTTAGCGTGAATAAAATAATGGAGTTGTGAATGAGGAAGAAGACAAGTATGGCATGCCAAAATAGTTGGCACATTCATTCCCTACTTTATATTATTATTATTAATAATAGAAAATGAATCATAGCAAAATAGAAGACATATAAAGGATTGAAAAATTTGAAAATGGTGTCATCATTCATTTGTTCTCTTATATAATTAATCATTCATTCACTCATCCATTCATTCATTAAGAAGAACATGCAGCTTACACTTTCTTTCCGTTGAGCAACATTCCGTTGACCTTCTCAATGGAAGAGTTGGCCGCCTCTTCAGTTTCAAAGTGTACAAACCCATATCCCTTCGAGCCATTTGTATCCATTGCGATCTGTCCACATCAATCATAATTATAATTATAAAAATCTGTACTAAATATTGAAATTAATAATTTTGATGAAAAAATCAGAGGAACCTTGCAAGAAAGGATGTTCCCGAATGCAGAGAAGGTATCATAAAGTGACTTGGTATCAATGCTCTTGTCCAGGTTCTTGATGAAGATGTTGCCAACTCCCGACTTCCTAACAGAAGGGTCCCTTTGGGACCACATGATCCTGCATGGCTTGCCCTTGATGGAGTCAAAGTTCATCGTGTCCAAAGCCCGTTCAGCTGTAATGTATTAAATTCATTTTATTTTTAATTAACATATTAACATAATAACACAACTTTTATTTTATCAACAATATCATTCCAACAAATGGAATAAAGCAGCTAAGATCAATGTAGTAAACGAAAGCTGTTTGAATGAAATATCAAGGATGTTATCATAAATAATAAAACATGTGGAGATAATGTAGTAACGGAACAGATAAGACCTAAGACCAATTAAAACAGAGTTGAACTTCGTACCAACAATTATAAGTGGTAATCTTCTTTCGACTTACCTGGGTACTGAACCCAGAATAACAGTGAAGAGATTGTTTTCAGCAGAGAAAATTAGAAAGGAGATTGACTGCCCACAGATAATTTCCACTTACAATAAACATATGGGTGGTGTTGATTTGCTTGACAGTCTCATGGGACTTTACAGAATCACCATAAGATCCAAAAAATGGTATCACAGATTGTTTTGGCATTGTCTTGACATGGCCATAGTGAATGCATGGCTACTATATAGGAGAGCTCGTTCGCAGCAAAACAATGTTTCAGGAAAGCTCAGATTGGCGGAATTCAAGGCTGATATTGCAAAAGGTAAATTATTCCTTTCATCTTCTTTCTAAACGACTAATATCAAATTAAATATTTTTGTAGTTCAAACATGTTTCAATCTCTGATCTTATTGCAGGTTTGTGCAAAGCTAGGAAAAGACCAAATAGGAAAAGAGCTCCGGGTCAACTGAGCATGGAGTACCACAAAAAGGCACGACATCGACAGTCTGTGCCAATTGTCGATTTTCGTACAGATGACACCAGCCAATGCCAACTCGGACCGTTGAAAGATTGCGTTGCCGTTTACCTGGTTGTAATGGACAATCACGAGTGTCTTGTGAAAAGTGCAAAATAAGTTTGTGCTTTACAAAGGACGTTTTCACACAGAATAACAATGATTTACTTGTCTAACTTTTATATATCTAGACAAATTTATGCAAAATAAATAATAATTTTGTGAATCTTTTATAACAATAAAAATGCATTCAATTAGTTGTGTTGCGCATGAAGATGCCGATCGGCACTTCATACATTTTTGTCGTTTATCCTTCTTTAATGAAAAATTTTTTTAAAAACAATTTTTCCATAATGGGAAATCTAATAGTAATACAAAAATATATTTTTAGTTTTAATCGAAACACATTTTTTAAATTCATGCAGTAGAGGGTTAATAAGGCTTCAGAAATGCGAGTGGCTATAGTAAAACACTTGACAAATGGGACAGGTGCGCTGGAAAAAGGAGATTGTTGGCAGAGTTTTGGTCAAGAAGCGAATGTCGGAGGAAAGTACTGTAAACGTACTGTTAACGTCATTATTATTGTTAAATTAAGTTCGAAATTCAAAAATATTTTTCGTTAATAACAATAGTTTCGTTATTTCAATTCCTGGCTGTAAAGAATTACGCTTGGATTTTTGAGTATTAAAGTTACATTTGGTGCCAGAAGTGGGATATCTGCCAAAGAAAAGAAAGGCAGGTAGCAGCAAAAAAAAATTAAAAAAAGAAAAGGTTAATTTTAGCAAAATAATTATAAAGTAACTAGTCGAAGCCAAAGTTATGTTTAGAAAATTGTGTGTCCTCAGAGAGGGTTGGCTTATCACTTGTTATTTATATTTTATCATTATTTTTATTTTTTGCTTTCAAAATTAAATATGAAACAGTCAGTTGCGGTTTGCACTGCTACATGTGGTTAGAGTTTGAATGTTTGTAACTGCACAGGGCTCTAGTAAACATCAGTGTCGGTTCAAAACATGGACATTGTCCACATTTTTAAATTTAAACTACTCCATAAAAATGATCCTCTGAGAAATGTTTAGTAGTAAATTTGAATAAATAAAATTAACAAAGAATAATTTTAATCTTTGATTTTTATATCAATGTTAATAGCCACCTTACTTATATACCAAAACAAGTGATCATCATGAATAATGTCAGTTCATACTAATGAGGCAACTGGCCTAATAAGACAAAGTCCATTTAGCAGCAGAAGTCACAAACATTGAGCCATTCAACATGTGGCCTCATTCAAATGCAAATTGATAATATAATCCTGGCAACAAATGAATTATTTCATAATTATATTTTTTTGCAATAAATGTTTTTATTTTTTAATAAATGTTTAAAATATTTATCGTTTTAACATTTTAATCGTTTGTTCAAAGTATTAAAATGTTTAAATGTTGCAGAATTAAAGACGTTTCGTCGTTTACTTTATGTGTGTAGTATAGAATGCATGGCCTCAGTTTGGGCATGTGTAAATTTCAGTTTCTCGTCTAATATATATTATTTAAGAGTATATGGTTATACACAAACACAGACAGACACACCAACATAACAACACGATAGACTAATCGTTATTCTTTCTTTCATGTATATCTATATATATATATATATTTCGGGTTTAGACTATCATAAATACAATTATTTATAAAGATCACTGCGTTTTCAGCATTATTCAACTTGTAGTTGAATTTCTCAATTTTTCTAACGAGACTTTTATCATCTTGATGAAGTTGATGATAAGTCTTGTTAGAAAAATTGAGAAACTCAACTACAATATGATATAAATAAATAATTAAACGCTAGTCAATTTATGGGCGGAGTCAATTTATTAAAAGTACATTATGTTTGTTTGTAAACAAGGGCGATACCATAAAAGTATCTGTCTCCGGTTTTACCCCCAATTCCTAGGCTAAACTTATTAATGTTGTTGTTGTATGCCGATATTCAGATGTTTAATTGTTAAAACTTATAAAAAACTCAAAACAAACCATCAGCAGGCAGCTGGAAATTGACATAAGCATAACCAAGGCTTCTTCTCGTCACCATATCACGACACACACGTATACTCAAAACAGCTCCGGCCGTCGAGAACTTCTCAAACAACATGGCCTCCGTCACATCTGGATGAAGATCACCCACGTACAAGGAGGACATAGGAAACGACGTTGTCTGGTTCTGCATCTGAAAAACAAAATTCTTGAATATTTAACTTACTAGGAGTGCTAGTAAATCTAACTAGTACTAGACTAGTTTAATATTAATTGAAATGAAATTGAATACAACGGATCATCATTTCTTCTTGTCATAAATAAAAGCAAGTGTAACGCATTATAACAAAAAACAAAACGAAATAGACTAACTTTGAATAGCTTTTGTTGTTTTTTCGTATTTTTTTGTTATTTTAATATTTTTTTATCCTGTCGAAAAATTAATACGACAGATTTTATCAATTTTAATAAAACGCGCAACCTCTCGGGTCTAGCAAAAACTTTTAGTGGAAAGGAAAAGGAAACGAACTTTTTATATTATATAAACACAGAAATAAAAGTAAGTAAGTACCGCTTCCGTTTAAAACTTTTTATGTCAAAATACTTTTAAAATGCGAAAAAAACATTGTATCAAATTTAAAACAAATATTTAAAATTTATTTAAAATTTATTCATATTAATTTAATTAGCGTTAAAATTGTAAAAAGTTTATTCAATTTTTTAATCATCTATGCTTAAGATTTTATGTGTAGAAAATAAAACTGTCTGATGGCTTTTTGGTTTCTCGCAATAAATTAGTTTATTTATTTTATTCAAAGTTGTTTCAAAATAACTAAACAGAAATGAGGCAATCATGAGCAATGAGCAAAAACTATTTGAATAGCAAAAAGCCGTCTGAATAATTTAATACATTCCTAAAAAAAAAAGATCAATTTTTAATTTTTAGCTTCAAACCCTTCAAACCTTATTCTCATACTAAACCTACTCTATACCTCTGAACTACCTCGTTTTATTAATAACTTTTCTTTCACTAGTCAACTATATGCTGATGATTCTTATATTTATTCTTTTTTTCCTTTTTTCTTTTTTTCTCAATTGTGTTCTTCATAATCTATCTCTATGTCTTTCTTCAATTATCGCTTAGTCTAACTCTATGTGTCTTAAACTTAATCCTTCTAAATTTGAATTAATTTGTTTTAATAAATCTAAACACTCTATTACTATTCCTCCTATTATCTTACCTGATTCAAAAACTCTTGATGTTTCTCACATGTTTCGTAGTCTAGGCTTTATCTTTGATTCTATGTCTCTTTCTTCTCAGATGAATAGTGTTGCTAGAAGTTCTTACTTTCATCTACGTAGAATAAAAAATCTTTTGCTTTTTCTTGATGATCCTACTCTTCTCCTTCTTGTTACTTCGTTAGTCTTATTTAGGATTGATTATTGTAACTCGCTCTACTATGCTCTTATGATTCTTTACTCTATCCTTTAAGTAAAGCTTTTAACTCTGCTGCTCGTCTAGTTGCTCGTGCCCCTTTTTTTTCTCATCTATCTCCATATCTTTTACTCTTGCACTGGCTTTCTATAAAATATAGAATAATTTTTAAAATTTGCAAATTTGTCTAAATCTAAATTAGGCTATTTCCTATAACTTATCCGATATATTAATTGAACCTAAACGCACCGGTTTACCGATCGTCTTCTTGTTCTTACTTCTTAACTCGTGTTAAACACTCTATTGCTAAATCTGCATTTGCTTTTTTTGGCTCTTTTTTCTGGAACTCTCTACCTCCTTCTCTGACTACTTCTCCATCATTTAACCAAGTTCATAGAGGATCTCAAGACCCATCTGTTTTTAAAATTCATTGAGGAGCGCTGTTGAACATGGCGGAAATAGGGCTTTACAAGCTAGTTGATTGAATGAATGAATGAATGAATGATTAAATGAATGATTGATTGATCGATCGATTGAATTATTGATTGATTGGTGCTTGCTGTTATAAATCATATATATTTGTGTGAATTATATAAATTGATTTATGAATAGAAAACAAATAAAACTAAATTAAAATATTACATTTTTATTTTTCAATATGTTTTCAATTTGTAAAAATTTAAAAAAGTGTATCGAAACAAGATCCACGATCTTTTTATCATATATCGTATGTCGGGTGTTTTTTTTATATTATATCGTATATATAATATATATATATGTATGTATATATATATATATATATATATATATATATATATATATTATATTTATTAGTTTTAGTTTATATCTTTTTGAAAGTTTGTTAAATAATTTAATTCATTAAGTTAAGAGAATGGATCAGTGTGCTGTGTCATTTGTTTTTCGATATGAAAATTTTCAATAGCATCGTTAATTGCGCTGTAAAATCATTTAGTTATATGTATAAATATAAATTTCTATATAAAAATCATAACGTAGCGTTGTAAAATCAAATGATTTAATTATAAGTATAAATATAAATTTCTATATAAAAATCATAACGTAGCGTTGTGGAATCATTTAATTATAAGTAAAAAATTAATAAAATGCTATTTTATAATAGTGTAATTTAATTGACACCTTTAACTTCTAAAATCTAAATTCGTCTTTTTCCCTTTTAAAGCTTTGAACATGGGGTATACATAATCTATATATTCATGACTTTGAATCTTTTTATCATTGTTTATTAAGTTTCTTTGCATATAATAAGTGAACATCAAGAAAAGTGGGTGGAGGTTAACGGCGTATTTTTTATGATTGCCCTGAAATAGATTATTTACGTGAAAAAAAGAGAGAGACGGTTGGTTAAGGGAATGGTCGGCCATTGTCAGAGAACATTTCTTAATGATCAATATAAATCAAAAATAGAAGCTGTTAAAAATTCTTTGTTAAATAATAATGTGAAGTACCAGCGAATCTCGTTGGACTTTTTTAAATATTTTTGGTCTTGGTTAGCGACTGCCAAGAAGTGTTGAGGAACCTAGTGAGTTATTCCGTTGGTTCTCTACTTTATCTAACGACCAAGTGTATGATATGTTGGAAAACCTTCAAGAGCTTAATTTTACAAGTAACGCAACGAACCTTATTCTAGTAAAAAAATCATTTGTTTATAAACTTTTTAAAGGGATAATCATTCATAAAGTTTTTTTTCAACAGATTTTGAAAATAAAATTTATAAAATACCTTTTTTCAAAGGTAAGTTTATGAACGATGCATGTTCGAAAGTTTCATTGAAAATGGTTTTGTCCGTCAACTAATATATTAATTTAACCTAAACGCCCCGGTTTACGATTGTCTTCCTGTTCTTGTAGTTTATAAATTTTGAAAATAAAATTTATAAACTACCTTTTTTCAAAGGTAAGTTTATGAACGATGCATGTTCGAAAGTTTCATTGAAAATGGTTTTGTCCGTCAACTAATATATTAATTTAACCTAAACGCCCCGGTTTACGATTGTCTTCCTGTTCTTGTAGTTTATAAATTTTGAAAATAAAATTTATAAACTACCTTTTTTCAAAGGTAAGTTTATGAACGATGCATGTTCGAAAGTTTCATTGAAAATGGTTTTGTCCGTCAACTAATATATTAATTTAACCTAAACGCCCCGGTTTACGATTGTCTTCCTGTTCTTGTAGTTTATAAATTTTGAAAATAAAATTTATAAACTACCTTTTTTCAAAGGTAAGTTTATGAACGATGCATGTTCGAAAGTTTCATTGAAAATGGTTTTGTCCGTCAACTAATATATTAATTTAACCTAAACGCCCCGGTTTACGATCGTCTTCTTGTCCTCGCTTCTTCTTAACTCGTGTTAAACACTCTTTTGCCAAATCTGCTTTTGCTTTTTCTGGCCCTTTTCTCTGTAACTCTCTACCTACTTCTCTGACTACTCCTGTGATTAGTATTTATTGTTATCAGCGACTTTGTTAATTTTACTGCCATCTTTACTAATTTTTCCTTTGGATGAGCAATTTTTACCTGCTGACTAATTTATTTAAAAGACATAACACGAATTAAAATTATTAGATAAATGGCAGAATAGCTCACTGGATGAGTTTGGCAACTTGATTTTATTTTCAAATATTATTTTGTATCTTCAGGGCTCATAGTTGTTTGTTTGTTGTTTGAATGTATGTCGGGGACCGGAAGATCTGAAATGAAAATACAGACTAACACCGAGGTCACCATTTCTCCTTTGGATGGGTTGACGAACAATTGTAACGATTGTCGAGTAAGAAAAACTGCATGCTGTTTTGAATGTTAAATGTAGATGTCGAACGTTAACTAATCAAACGCCACGGTTCGAAGTCGCCTCTCCAATTTAAATCCGTAAAAATCCGGTTTAACTCTCAAATTATGTAAATTAATAAAAAAAACGCGCGAGCATTCGTGGACACTAAGTAGAAAAACATTTATGCGTCGCAGGTTTAAAAAATAAAATAACTAACTACCTCATTGCTAAATAACGATATTTGCTTGTGGTTTATTCGTTATTTTAATTTATAAAAAATGGAAATAGAGAAAAACGACTCGCCGACAGCATTATTTCAAGTGGGCGGAGATTTATTTCGTTGGTTCAGTATGTTTAAATAAAAGGAACTGAGAAACGTGGTTACCAATGTATCGGCGAATGTGGTTCCAAACAGAGTGATAATAACTATTATTATTATAATTAACTATTTATAGTTAAATTAAATACTTAATTGCAATTAAATAATATGTTCAAAATAATTAAAGCTCGTGCAGTTGCGAAAACACACACGCAAGCACCTCAACGAACAAATATTAACCAAATTCAATGAGGCTAGTTCGTCAAGCGCGAGGCATGTGATTAACAGGAATTGACGAGTGAAACCGGTTTAAACTAACATTTTAACTCACTGGTTGACAGTAAACATTTTATAAATAATATGCAAAATAAACATCTAAACAAGAAATATCTACAAATAAATAATCCAATTGCCATATAGACAACGTAATAAAAAATTAAATACAAGGTTTTCATTTAGAAGATAGAATGAGAGCCACAATAAGTCCATATAAACCAAGAACTTCAGCAAAAATTAGAACCAAAATCATGCCGACAAAAAGCCTTGGCTGCTGAGCAGTGCCTCTCACACCACAATCTCCCACAACCCCGATGGCGTATCCCGCTGCTGCTCCTGATAGCCCCACACTCAACCCCGCTCCCAAGTGGAGAAAACTTCTGGAAATATAATAATATAAACAACATCTGAATATTCATAAAACTTTTAACGTTCGACATGTTAAAAGTAAGAAAACCTTTCAAAGCAAATATTAATTTGAGGATATTAAATTTGTTTAGAAGTTTGCTTACTTTAAACATTCAAAATTAGAGCAGTCAACTAAAGAAATGATTTCAGGTCAATCATTTAATTAATTAAAATGTTAACACGTCTACACTCACATGCCGCACGTGTAATGGTGCCAATGAAAAAATCCTAGTATAATAGGTAATGTGGATGAAATAATTAACTAAATTTGCTTAACACTAAAAAATATTAAAATCTTAAAAAAAATAGCTAAAAAAAACTTGAAAATTGGGTATCCAGATTGACTGCTGGAAGCAGGACCAGCCTGGTTGGCCAGCAAAGCAGCAACAACCAAGCCATAGATGGCCACAATGCCCGCCATTACAACAGGAATGATGGATTTCATGATCAAGTCGGGTCTTGAAACAGCCATTGATGCTATTCCCGTTCCTGATTTTGCTGTTCCGTAAGCAGCACCTAATGCTGCAGACAAACATGAGAACCAAAATAAATGCACCATTTACTTTTTAATATAATATTCTTCCACATATTTCAATTTAAAAAACCTAAAATGATCTAGAAATACCTAAATGCAAAAATTTTTGGTCTATTATTATTAAGCAAAAATTAAGATTGCAAGCAAATGGTCACAAGTATTATGATTACATAGAAGTTTGATTTGAAAGGTACATTTATTAATTGTTGAAAAACATTTTGTGCAAAATAGGTTTATTTAACATAGACTAGGGTTTTTTGAAATACATGGAAAAATATTAAAATTAAAAATATTGAGTTTTGTGGAACTACTTATTCAACTTAAACAGTAATAATAACAGATCAGAATTAGTAAAAAATGTTGTTTCCATCCATTTTACATTAAAATCTTAAAATTGCATAATCATATAAATAAATCATTTTGTTCATTATCATTAAGTTATTTATGTTATGATTAATACAAGAATGTGATAAATCTCAAATAATGGGTAATTTGGTTTGTAAAAATCATTTGGTTAATTAATGATCAACACATCCTATTTGCATGTAAGTAAAGTAAAAACAAATAAAAACTGAAGCCATGGTTATGTTTTAACTTATAATTATAATTAATTGCTATTTAAAATTTATATAGTTGTAATTTTTAAATACAATTTTTTTAAATTAAAAAGCTTAATTATTTAACTAATTACACCTAATTGTGTAAAACCAACAGATAATCGATATTATTAAAATTATTAATCATGCCTAGTCAAGAAGTTTTGGACAAATTTTTAAAAAGTGGCCGTCATTGCAATATTGTATTGTGATGAGTTTTTATAATTGACATGGTTTTGTAATATACAGTAATTATTAATTATTTTGTTTATTTTATTGAACATTTTTATTTGTAAATTTGAGTAAAAATTAAAATAAATGTGATTTAAATCAAAATTTTAAAACTCCCCCCCAAACATAATTTCTAAATACAGCCTTGCCTAGTATGAATCTTTTAAATTTATTTTTTTATTGTCTTCATAGTTTTTCTTTATATTTTATAATTTATGTCGCTTTACATTTTACAACAAATCAAATGAAATACAACAGAGGCAGGACCAAAACATAAAAAATATCAAATTAAAAAAAAACTAAAATTATTAAAAGTGTTTGCTGTGTTGTCTGTCATTGAAGGTGTTTGCTGTCATAAATTAAATTTTCATGATTTAACAGTTAAATATATTTTAACTAAAAATAATAATAAAAAATCTAATATAAAATTTAATTTATTCAATTTATTTAATAATAATGATTTACATTTTTCAATGGTCACGCAAAAAAGGCATAAATCCATTAAAAAATAATAAAAGAAATAAAAGGCAGGAAGACAAACCAGAAAAGATCATAGCGAAAGAAGCCCCAAGGATGCCGAAGAATGGTCCGTAGACGGGCTCCGTGTTCACCCCCATTGCCTTCATTTGTGCATCCATCGTGAAAGATTAAATTTTTCCTATCTTTTTAAAAACGGATTACTATTGTTTTAAATATTCCGCAGTCAGAGCAGTCAGAAGACCAACACAATCACAAACAAAAACCGTCGCCCACAACAATATACACAAACTTCGGACAAAACTATATAATATATATATACATATAATTATAAATGTATTTTTATATTTGTATATGTTTATATAATCTAATTATATATATTTATATATTTAAAAATATACTTTTATATATTCATATATGTATATATAACCTAATATTGAAAATATATGCGTGCGTGTAACGTATATCTATATTCACAATATAGAATTATGTTAATAACAGGGATGTTACAGTAATTTTTTATGATTTTGTAAAATGTTCGTAAAAAAAGATTGTGACATTAATGATTTTTTTTAACGTTTTAAAACGACGATAAAAATTTTGTCCATAAAGCATAGACTTTTAAACTGAAGCTCCATGTAAATTAACGTAGAACCATATATTTAGAATGTGTGCGAGCTTTTTGATAAAAACAAGAACTATAGAATCTAACTCAACCCAACCCGTCCGTTATAAGTTATGGGTTGAAATATTTTGTAGCATGTATGATTTATTGTTTGATTTATTTGTTATTTATTTCAACATTTTCTCCAAGAAAAGATCCGTGTCTGTTATATCGGCAAAAAAACTTTGTGCCATCATTTAAAGCTTTGTATCTGTCATGTTTAAGTCGGCTGCTTTTTTTGCGGCTGAGTCAAGTTCAGTTGAGGTGTAATTGATATACCTTTCAGTCAAGGTGTTATTATTATTATTATTATTATGAATGTTTAATAGGTGCTTTTTCAATCGTTCTCAAAAACGCCATTAACTAAAAGTATCATTTGCTCAGAGAAAATAAATAAGCTTTCAATTCTTTTCGAAACTTTCCAAGGGAGACACCCGGATCACGTAAGTACTGTGGCAGACTATTCCAGATCGTCGGTCCTACAATAGAAAAATTACGTGATCCAATCTTCAATTTAGCAAAAGGAACTTTTAACAAATCTGAACAATCTGAACGCAGTCCAAGTCGATGCATAGGAATATCCCTCTGAACAACTTTATCTTGAAGGTATTTGGGAGCCAGGCCATTTCTGCATTTATAAACCATCACAGCAATTCTGAAAACAATTCTTTTTTCAACAGTTAACCAATGCAATTCACTCAAAATTGGGGTCACATGTTCAAACTTTGATGCACCTGTTACAATCTTTGCTGCCCGATTTTGTATTGACTGCAGCTGACTAATCACATTATTTGCAGTGCCGTAGAGCAAAACATTACAGTAATCCAGCCTTGAATGTACGAATGCATGCACCAGACTTTGTAATATGTGTCTACTTAACGACTTCCGGACAATTCTAAATCCACGCATATGATGATAGCATTCACTTGTAAGTGATTTAACATGGTCCTTCATCAATAGACTACTATCAAAAACTACTCCCAGATTGCGCACAGATGCACAAAAATCGATTGAATCACCACAAATACTAATTGATCCAATTTGTAATTTTGACAATTGCTGCCACGTTCCAACTTCCATAAGCTGAGTTTTACAGGTATTTAATTTAAGGCAATGCGTTTTCATCCAATGATCAACTTCACCAAGGCATAGTGCTAATTTATCAATCATGACTGGAAACGATGTAACATGACTAGTAGCAATAATCTGAATGTCATCCGCAAAACCATGGCACTTAAAATTATGATTCTTGATTATGTTGAAAACATCAGCTGTGTAAACCAGAAACAAAATGGGGCCAAGGACAGATCCTTGTGGCACCCCAAATCTTATAGTTTCAGTTGTAGACAATTCATTGTTAAAAATAATCTGCTGAGTTCTACCAATTAAATAAGACTCAAACCATTTGGAGGTAGTTCCGGTGATACCACAGCGTTTAAGTTTATGAACCAGCAATTTGTGATCAACACAATCAAATGCTGCGCTCATATCAAGCAGAGCAAGAAGTGATACATCATGTGATTCCATCGATTCAAACAATGAAGATGTGACATCAATAAGTGTTGTCTCTGTTGAATGAAATCATCGATAACTAGATTGCAATGATGGTAGTAAATTATGCTCATTCAAATGTCGAACAAACTGCATTGCAACTACTCGTTCAATTAACTTTGAAATAAACGTTAAGTTTGACACCGGACGATAATTATTTATTTCATTTTTATCAAGAGACTGTTTTTTCAATATTGGTGTAACCAAAGCATGCTTACATGCAGACGGAAAAACGCCAGTTTTCAAGCTTAAATTAATAAAAAAGGTTAGAAATGGCAAGAACAAATCTAAGTGTGCCTTCATCAATCTGGTAGGTAAACAATCCAACAGACATGATTTTGTTGGTGATTCCAAAACGATCTTTTTGATATCATCACTTGAACAAAGCGAGAAATTGTTGAACAATTGTCCATCATAAAGTTTGTGAAAAGACTGCAATGGCATATAAAATGCATCCGTATCTTTTATAACTTTTCCAATCTTATTTTTGAAATATTCTGCAAAATCAGTAGAACAATGCTGACAGGATGATGACTTTGATGAATCTAGTGAGGTTGCTCTACAAAGTAATTTGTTTACAGTAGTCCATAATTTTTTTGGTTGACCTTTATTATTTTCCACCAACTTTTTCCAGTAGTTATTTTTATTAACATTAAATAGAACACTTTTATTAATAAGAGCAGTTTTCCAAGCATCTCTATTAGATAATGTTTTGTTAACTTTATACTGTCTCTCCAATTTACGGCAAAGTCTTTTTAATTTTCTACATTCATCATCAAACTATGGCGCTGATGGGACATGTCTCGATTTCACCAAATGCAGTGGAGCTACCTTATCTATGATAGATTTCATTTCCTCAGTAAAAATCACCAGCATCAAGCCCGCATCATTGTAATCAAATGGACCACTGATATGAGAACCCAAAACTAATGATGAAAATAATTTTTCATCCATCCGACCCCAAGAACGAACCCATTTTAGGCGAAAAACAGGCTGCTTCAATATCACTGGAAAAACCGATTTGATGAAACTGTGATCTGAGTATATATCACATGGATTAACAATACATTCAATAGCAGGAAAATCGTCGGAAGACACTACCAAGTCTAACGTACCACCCAAATTATGAGTTGGCTGATTTATTCTATTTGTAACCTGATATGAGTTAAATACTTCCAATAATCTAACAGTTGTAGAACTATTCAAATTTTCCATGTGAATATTAAAATCACCAGAAAGCAGCAAATAATCCGCAAGGATTGATTTTTTATCCAGAACACAGATCAATTCATGAAAAAACAATGCTGATACAGCAGATGATCCTGGTCTGTATAATGCCAACAAAATAATTACAGTATGATTGATGAAAAACTTAATAGCTACTGCTTCAAATGTCTTCAATTGTGGCAGATCAATTCTTTTAAACCTAAAATAATCTCTGAAATATACAATAACTCCACCATGCAGGGGATCTGAAGGTCGCAAAAAATCAACATATGTAAAACCGGGTGGCATAGCAAGTTTAAGACAAACATTATTAGATGAACCATGCCAAGTTTCATTTAATACAAAAATATCCAAACTATCATCCAATAGTTCATAAACAAAATTAAACTTTGACATTGATCTTATGTTAAGCAAACCAAAACACAGAGTTTTTATTTTCCTTTTTTGAGAAACCTCACAATCTTCCAGCGACCCACCGGACCCCTGACGCGGTATAAAAAATCTTCCCCATCATCAGCCTCTCTACTTTTAGCCTCATCAACCAGTTTACGATAATCAGTTCGTTGTTCACGGGTCATATCATGACTTATTCTAATACTTTTCAATTTATCGTCAAGCAATTTAATTTTAAACAGTTTATTCATCACAAGTACCTTTGATGACGTGTTGTTAAATTTAACAATTATCGGGCGTGGAGAGGTAATTTGCTCATCTTTTTTGCCCTGTCTAAAAACCTTAACAACGTCGCTGCTTTTAATTGACTCCTCAGTCAGCGATTGAAAGATTTTCATCACAATTTCTTTATCTTTCACACTATTTTCACTTTCAGCAAGATTAAAAATGATGATATTGTTTTCACGTTCTTTATTTTCATTTACAACATTAAGTGTTTTTTGTATCGATCTAACTTCACTACATACAGCGTCACAATTTTTTTTAACAAGGTGTGTGTGGAACTATCGCGTAAAAATCTGGGCGAATGTTGCTGTCGGAAATTAAGCCAGCAGGCTATTTTATGGCTGATTTGCTGGTGTTAGGCTCTTTTATGGCTGAAAAAGCCATTCGTTTATTGTCGAGTGCCTATCTTGTCTGCCAGAGCCTAGTCTACACGAAAGACATAATGGTCCAATGATGAAACATCATCCCCGCGTTGACATTTGTAAGGGGTCACCAGGGACGGATCTAGGGGAGAGCGGAAAGCACTAGTCTCCCGCTGTGAGCTGTTTTTATTAAGTCAGAAAAAGGAGGACCGTTTAACATATCAAATCGACCAAAAAAGGTCGACTAGCCATACTTCCACAAATCTTGGCCTCCCCGTGAAAATTTTGGCCTCTCCCGTCAAAATTTAAACACTTTCAAAATTTTGGTCGCCTCCGTCCAAAGTTGTCTAGGTTCGCCACTGGGGGTCACCACCGGCAGTCCAAATTTTAAACAGAGACTTATTTTAATACTTGATATGTCTAATTTTGTGCCGCTTTCAACCATGCCAAATGCAACTCACTCACAACGGCCAACAACCTAGCTTTGTTCGTAGGGAAAACATTTAATTGGTTCTCAAAATTAACTGCATTGTTTAACCCTTAAACACCGAAGAAAAAAAAACATTGAAGTCGTTATGGGTCGAATCGACCCACGGTACATAAAAATCGTTTTTTTTGCCACAAAAAATTAATAAAAAATATTCTTAATTACAAACAAATTAAATTTAGCAATAACTTTAAACAATAAGTTATTAAAAATTTAAAAAAATTATTTTTAAATCGTTAAAGATTTAAATACTTAAATTTCCTTTTTGCGGCAGGATATGTTAAACTTGTTTATATCAATCATACATTTTTCCAAGGGGAGGCCCATTTACCAACATAAAACACTTTCTTATGGGTTGGCAAAGAACCTCAATTTTTTCAACTTTTAATTATTTTCGGTAATGTCGATTTTATTTTATAAATTTATACCAAATAAAAATAATTAGTTATCACATTAAATAACAACTAAAAAAATTTAAAATTTTGTTACAAATTGTAATGACTGAAAAATTGTTGTTAATGGTGTTATTCAAAGCTTTTTTACTTTTCGTTTTTGTCCTGTTAATTTTTCTGACTGAATAAACACTTTCAATAAATGTTTAAATTTTTATATTGTCATTTATTTTTCCGTTTTGTATATGTACTAATTCTCGTGTCGGATACAATAGTTTAATTTTTAAGTAAATTTTCATTTTCGTAGCTACACAAACATGCCTACCTGTTGCATTATTTAAAATTGCTCCAATTTGATTTAATTTTCAATAGAAATAAAAAATTTTTTGATGCATCTTTTCACAGGTTTATTTCCAAATTTAACTTCACACTGAAATAAGTGTAACAACTATTCCTATACTCACTGAGTAGAACTATTTTGTTTTACAATTACATATATTTTATTTTATAAACAATTATAATTTATAATTCTATCATGGATTACCATTTTATTATTAAAAGCAATACTTAAGAAATGCACAAGTTTCTGTAACAGTTTATAAAATTTCAGATTTCTTCAAAATGTAGAAATGCAAAACAATTGGATTTAGTAAGTGTATCAGACAGGAAATAAATGATTTCAAATGGCTTCCATAAAAAAAAATGCAGAAATGTGCAGTGACCATTTCTGTAATAAAGATTATAAGGGTTATGATGAAGGAAGCATTCTCATGTTTTCAAGTTATTTATATTTATATGTCATCAGTTACACAAGGAAGCAATTCACATCATCATTGTACATTGCAACATTCTTATCTATACAAAAAATATAAAATGCATTCAACAATATTATCCATGTATTTTATTAAAACTTAGAAAGGGCATAATGACATTGTGAATAATAAACCCTGCTTAGGACTGGGATCATCATCATCATACCAATCACCATTACAAGTATTGAGTCAATTGGCATAATCAAGTTTTTTATATGAAATACACATCAAGTATTTAATTAATGTAACGAATAAATTAACAGAAAAATTTCTGGAAAAGTTTAAAAAAATTAGAACATATGACTTTGATCAAAATTCATTTGTGTTGACACTGCATTTGTATGGGCATAAGGCATATGATTATCTTCAGACAAATGGCCTACATCTTCCTCAAACTAGGACATTAAGAAAGTAATCTTGTCATACCTGTTCAATAATTTTAATAAGATTATTTTAAATAACTATTCTCAATGTCATTTTATTAACACTACATTAAGAGGTGGCTACAAAACATTGATGGTATGCCTGGGGTGATTTCTACAAACCTTCTTGACTAATAGTGATGGGGATCCTCTGGAACTGAAGGATCATGAAATTCAATCTAGTCATGGATTGAGAAATTTATTACAATATAAGAATGAAAAAAATATGTAGGTGTAAGGCAAAATCTTACTAGAACTATTATTTTTAGCAACTTATGATTTATTTTTTATTTATGACTATTCATTTTCAATGATACCGATATTTTCAATTATTGTTATCCAAATTATACACATGGCTATATAAATTAATTTGATTGTGGCTATTTCTATGCTTAATCATTTTATTTACTTGCCATAGGTATGCGCAGCATTTAGTAAATTAATGATAATTAATAACACAATATTCTAACTGCTTAAAGTATAATAAATTAAAAGTACAATTTCTACAAACCTCATTGGTTATAGTGATGGGGATTCTTTAGAACTGAATGATTATGATCTAACAAGTCGTGGATTGATGAATCACTGGAATCACACATTATCTTTAATAAATTTAATAACAACATGTAATATAATTTAAGAATGAAGAATATTTTGTTAAACATTAAATGAAAAAAAATTTAGTTTGAATCACTCATAATTAATAAATTTTAATTAAATTGCAACGTTAGCTTGAGGAGCTTGATGCTTAAATTGAACAAAATTGTTTATTTTATAAAATTGATTGATAAGTTGTTTAATATATTTATTTAATTTTGTATATTTTTATTCCCAGGCATAAGCATTGTAAATAAAAATTTTACAATCAATCAAGCAATAGGATTTAGGATTTTAGGAACAAGTGCTGTTAATGTAGTTAGTAGTGATCGGTAGTCTCTAGTTCTAGTCTAATTTGTTAATGTTTGTTAGTTCCATCTGTTATTTATTTTAATAGAATTAGTAGAGTTTAGTTTTAGCTTAATTATTAGAGTTTAGTAATTTAATTACTAATTAATCGTCGTTAGTGTTGTTACGTTACAGTTAATCATTAACTGTTAATGAATCGTTAACGCCTTTTAAACGGTTAACGTTAATATTACAAGTCGAGTGTTAGAGTGGTTCACAAAAATTTTTTTTTATTTAAAATGCAAGAACCGTCATACAGCAATATCTATCCTAAAACAGCATCTAGTATCACCTTTTAAAACATTTTAAATAAAAGCAATATTCCGAAATTAGTAAATATACGATCGTTATTTTAGACTTGAGCGATAAAAAATCACCCTCCAATTTTCCTCCGGAAGTAAGCTCCTTGTTCGACCGTCAAAAATGAGCGAAGGCTGTTATATTTATTCTATTTATATGCATTTTTCTTTCTGTATCAAATAAAAATAAATGTGATTATGTCTTGTCGCGTTTTTGCTCAAGAAGCTTTAAATATTATCCTTGATGATGATGATGATGATGATGAAAAAAGTGGAATTGAAAGTCTGGGTAGCCTCTCTGATGCTGAATATAAAAATAATGAAAATGTAGATTCAATGTCCAGTTTGTTATCAACATCAATCAGGTCTGTTGAATATGACTTAGAAGAGAAATTTCATGCTAGAAAGTTTGCAGATGAGGAAAAAAATGGAAATAACAGAAATGATGATGACGTCCTGGCTTGTAATTTTTGTGAGGATGATTCTAATAGTGGTTTATGTTTGATGTCAACTGATATGGAAAGGCATATATATGAATGTATTGATTCGGTAATTGAAAAGATTTGTGGAGCATATGTAAGTGCAGACGGCACTGTGTGGAATTCTAAGCCTTATTTGACTGGAAGAAGACAGTCTGTGAATGTAATGAGAGCAGCTGGAGGACTGAGTGCTTACGGACGTCGTCATTGCACCAATACTGCTCTCTATATTTGGCAAATTTTCATGGACAATTCTCTGATCGATATAATTGTTGATTGCACTAACGACAAAGCTGCTAGTTTGGGTGCCAATTTTGTTACGAACAGAGAGGAAATCAACACTTTCATAGGTGTAAATATTTTAGTTGGGGTATATAAAGGAAAAGGAGAACCCGTGCGTGCACTTTGGTCAAAGTCAGAAGGCCGACAATGCATCAGACAATTTATGTCAAGGACTAGATTTGAAGAAATGACAAAATTTATTAGATTTGATTTTACTAGAAGCCGAAGTGCTCGACGAAAACTATCAAAGTTTGCACCAATGGGTGTGGTGTTTGACATATGGCAAGAGAATCTTGGAAAACCATTTATTCCATATAAGTATGTAACCGTAGATGAAACACTTGTACCATTCAGAGGCCGCTGCAGTTTCAAACAATATATGCCTTCCAAACCTGCAAAATATGGCTTGAAGTTTTGGTGTTTATGTGATGCCGAAACCGGCTACTGCTTGAAAATGAAACCGTATTTAGGCACAGATAATGGAGCAGCGCGGGCAAAAAATTTAGGAAAGCAAGTAGTGTTAGATTTGACGGAGAACTTAGACATTGGCAGAACCACTGTTATGGACAATTTTTTTACATCTTTGGAATTACTACGTGAGATGCAAAATCGTAATTTAGGAGTCATTGGAACCATTCGTAAAAATTGGAGAGAACTGCCACCAGAATTTGTAAAGAAAAATAGCGAAGGTGTCACCTCTTTATTTGGTTATTTACTTAAAACAACCCTAGTTTCTTATGCACCAAAAAAAACAAAAGAGTAGTTTTACTGTCAAGTGAGCACAGTAACGAAGAAATAGATGACCAAAGTAAAAAACCAGAAATAAGGTAAAGAAGGAGTTGATCATTTGGATCAAATGTGCGCAATGTACATTACTCGAAAGCGAACCTTTCGTTGGCCAAAATGTGTTTTTCAACACATGGTGGACGTCACTGCATATAATTCATTCATCCTTTGGCAAGAAGTTATTGGACATAAAAACAGAAGGCAATTTTTAAAAAGTTTGGGAGCAGAATTAAGCGGTGGGGAAATTGATGACGATGTAAATATAAAGTTGATCCAATCTCAGTTAGCACCTGAATGTCAATCATCTGCTAAATCTGGAAAACGGTTGAGATGTAGAAAATGCGTTTCAAACAAAACGGTCCAACGTTGCAACAAATGTTTGAATCCATTATGCATCAACTGTGTCAATGTCATGACTGTTAATTTTATATAAATTTGATACTTGAATATAATAAAATGTTTATTTTATGTAAATTTGGTGTTTAAAATGAATAAAATGTTCAATATTATAATATCGTTTCAATTTTATTCACATGGGTCATTTCGACCCATGCGGTCGCGAACGTAAACACATTTTTGGAAGACTGTTTTTATATACAAGATATCTGATTATTTAAAATCAAGCTAAATTTATGAAAAGCTTATAAAAAATTAGACAAAGTCAAAAAATTTAAAATTGTTAGATTAAAAAACAAGCGAAATATGATTTTTTAAAAAGTGTGCATGGGTCGAAAAGACCCATGTTGGTGTTTAAGGGTTAAAAAAGGTGGTTACAAAGTCTAAACAGCGGAGTTAAAATCAGCTGAGTTAAAATGCTTGAGTCCAGTGTCATAGAATTTTAGTACTAAAATTTAACGGATTTTATTGATTTGAATTTTCCCGTTTAAATAGTTTTGATACTTAAGTAGAACTTGAACTAAGTTTCTACATTTCTAAATTAATCATATACAATTTTGGCGAGAAAGTTTTAGTACGAAGATTTCGTGAGTTAATCCCCTACCAACTTTGACTTTCATTTGCATACATGTTGCTGTATAGCATTTACCATTAAATAAAACTCACATACATATAAGTTTTACTAAACCATCATTGCAGTATCATGATTAACAGTTTCACGTATAAATATAAATATTCTAGGTTTCAGAATATTAACTCAACTCCACTTGTTAACGTAAAAATGCAATTAATAGCAATAGTAATAATAACACTGGGCAACAAAAAAAATATTTTTTTTTTGTATACTTAACTTTTTTAGTCAAATTATACTAATTTTGGGGTAAGAAAAACGAAAATGCAAACGAAAATTTTTTATTAGCTCTAGTTTCTGAGATATACAACAACAACAAAATTTTTGGTTTTGCTTATTCACAACATAGCAATATGACATTTAATTTACTTATTTTAATAATATTTAAAGTGCATTTAGTTTTTTCAATAAAGATTACATTCTAACAGTTTTAAACAATGAAAAATAATAAATATAAAAAATATTATGGAATATTTTCGCGCGATAGTGCCATTTTTGCTTTCCGCCTGTATTCGAGCTCTGGAGCATTCCTACATATAAACCAACATTAATCTGCAAGCATAGCTTCATTCCAACGACCCTCATATCTTTTTTCCATTACAGAAATATCTTTGTGGGACCTTTCTCTATGTTCATCACTAACAGCTCCACAAAGTGGAAAGAAGTCTAAATGTGAGTTGAGGAAGTGAATCTTCAAGGATATGTTACGTCTTAGTTGATGGCATTTTTGCAGAAGTACTGTTAACAATTGGATGTAGTTATCATCTCTTCTGTGGCCTAAAAATCCACAAATCACTCCCTTGAGAGATTCCCAAGTTTCTTTTTCTTGCCCCTTCAAAACTTCATCAAATGCAGGATCTTTCACAAGTTCATGTATCTATGGTCCAACAAAAATACCCTCTTTTACTTTTGCATCACTTAGTTTTGGAAATTTGTTTCTTAAATACTTAAAAGCCTGTCCATCTTTGTTCCTTTGACAAAATTTTTCATTAAACCCAGCTTAATGTGTAAGGATGGAAGAAGTACATCTTTCAGCAACAAAATTTTTGTCACCTTTGTTGAGATTTCTTGCAGGCCAGTCCATTTGTGTGTAATATGAAATTTTGTCTCTATGTCCCACATACACAAGAAGCAGCAGTATTTGGTATAGCCTAATTGCATTTCTAAAAGTGTGGCAATACTTTTAGGAATACTTTTAGGTCACCACAAATTTTCCATTTGTGTTCGTTGTAATTGAGTTAAGAAGAGTTTTCATATTTAGGTAAATTTCTTTCATGTGAGCTGCATGGCCAATAGGAACTGATAGAAAATGATTTCCATTGTGCAGTAATACAGCTTTCAAGCTTAGCTTTGATGAATCTATGAATAATCTCTATTCACTTGGATCATAGTTCAAATTGAGACAATACATTAATCTATAGATATCAACGCAAACAACAAGGTTATTTTTCTTCTCAAAAAAACGAAGAAGATTTTGTTGCCGTTTCCTGAAATAGGAAACTTTAACATCAGATTGGAGAAGATTCCACAGTTTTAATCTAGACCCTAAAAGTTCTGCCATTTCCAGTGACAAGTCAAGATCTCGAACGAGGTCACTTAATTCTGCTTAACTCCATCTGTGTGGTGCATCATCTGTTGACACAAAATCAGAATCATTTGATGTAGAAGGCTGGCTTTCTTTTCCTTCTTCTATTTCATTTGTGCCTCCATAAATAAAGCTTTATAGATAGCCAAGAGGCAAAATAAAAAAAGATAAAAAAATTTTTCCAAAAAATAAAAATTTATACTCTTGAGGATAGAGTTTTGCTTTTATCTTTTGTACTAGAGCTAATATGTAATTTTTAATGTCATTTTCGGATTCAGCAGGTGGAAATACGTAAGAAACAACTAATTTTGGTTCAGATACAAAAACACTGTTGGGCAGTGATAATTAGTGGGTGCTGTTGAACAGAATAGCTAACAAGCTTCCTTGTGGCAATAAATTTATATAAGTATAGTATTTAAGCACATGTGTTTGAATAATGAATATGAATGACAATAGCGTACGTACATGCATTTGTTAATTATTAATTTGATTATGGCATAATGTTAAATAAGCAATGTGGTTTCATTAAAAGTTAGTTCTGCTCTTCATCGTAAAAATTTGACCTTTGTTTTCGTGCTTAAATTGCATCGGAACGTCACCTGATAACTGTTTGTTTGAATGTGCCGGTTTCGAATTTCATCATCATTATCATCTCTCGTCAAAACAACCCGAACCCGGAAGTCAGAAAAACAACAAACAACAGCAACAGCAATAAAAATGTTTACAACAACATGGTAACGGTCATCATGATTTCGCAAAACTTTCTTTTATTTTTTGGCCAGTCTGCTGCTGTAAATTCCTAAAATATAATTTCTTACTTACTGATTTCACTTTTTTTCCTCTGTTCAATAAAATAAATTTGAATAAAATAGTGCTTCAATCCTCTGCCTGTATGCATTCATTCGTTGCTTTTTTCTTTTCAGCAGTGTCCCATGCACATCTGAGCTGCTTTCTGACACTCTAGTCTTCTAATCTAATCCTAGTTAGATTTGCTGGGCTGTTTGACAAAAATGGTCCTTTGAAAATTGAATGAAAATTAAACTGGACAATTTTTTGATAATTAATTTTAATTTGATAACTAATTTAAAAATGTGAGAAGATTAGTAGATAGGTAGAATTTTTATTTTTTTTATAGTTTACAAATTTACATTCCAGTGACTGCCCTTCTGGCCTGCAACAAGCATCTTCATTTTAAAATGCAATGAATAAAAAAATTTGTTGTTCTCATGAAAAAACTACCTGCTGAAATTGAGTATATTAGTAAATAAATAAATATAAATACATATATATATATATATATATATATATATATATATATATATATATATATATTTCATAACTTTAATTAATTAAACTTTAGAGTAAATAGAAAAGTTTTGTCTAGAAAATATAATTCTAATCTGATTGGTGTTTGCATTGATGAAAATGTTGTCACCCTCGCTTGGATTACATTCATCGGCGAAGTATTCCAACTGCCTTCACAGAGGTGTAAGTGGACTGCAGGCAGAAGCAATTGTTCTCAATTCCAAAGTTGATGGAAGTTTTCTGGTGAGGGAAAGTGAAAGCATCCAGAATGGATACACACTTTGTGTTTTGTGGGTTTTCCAATGTTTGTTTGTAAAATAAGTTCTTATGACAATTGAGTTTTCAATATATTTTATGTAAATATAGTTTTGCTTTTTTAATTTTTGATTGCTTGCATCTTACGTATTTAATTGCAATTTTAAATATTGTATCATAATCTGATAGGTCCAACAAGAAAGTGTACCAATATAGAATACTTCCTGATAATAATGGCTTCCTGTCAGTTGAAGTCAGTTGCATGTGAATACTATCACCTCTATACTTGTTATTTGATGTTATTTTGCTATTGTGTTACATTATGCCAGTTGATTCACATACTACTTTAATAAAGAATATACATATTTTAATTAGGAATATTGATTTTACTAATGGTAAATATTTAAATGGTGATGAATGTGATTAAATTTACTGAAAGATTTACTCTTCATTTTCCGCATCCCAAATGTTTATGCTTGAGAAATTTTATAATAATGATCTGTTTCTTGACAGGGTTCTATAAATTAACACTGGACAACAAGCAGATGAATAGTTTTATAACTCTAAAATACTTGCAACAATTGCTTGTAATGAATTCTGGTGATTCCAAAAAATACAAATTAAAATTATTTGCAATTATAATTTGCTACTAAAAATAAATGAGGTTGTTTCTAGGAGTAACTATTGGTGATTGTTAGGGGATCTAACTGACCAAACTGATCATGAAATAAGTGGTCGCAGTTATAGTTAAGTGTTGCATAAGTTGGTTGTCAAGGTTGGTTTTATGCAGATGCAATAGTAGGCCACTCACTATTTGGAAAAATAGTTAATTAGTTATTGTTTTAGAGACTGTATTTTTTTTAGATATTCATGCAAAATATTATTGATAGAAAAATCTTTATATTTTATGACAGTAGGGTTATTGAATATCCTTGATGTATCGGTTTGAAAAGATCCTACTTAAAAAAAATTTTCAGAGTGATGAAGGAGTGCGAAATAAAAAGCATGCAGATCTGAACAGTTTGATATTGGATTACGTGGAAAGAGGCCAGAAAAATGGACTGGTCACCAGTCTCACCTTTCCCATCATGGTCAGTACGGAGGCATGCTCTGATGATGACCTGGATTGTGATGCTGGTGGGTCTCCTCTCTCTCTCTCTCTTTCTCACTCTCTTTCAATTCAACATTCCATTGTTCATTATTATTTTAATATATTTACTTTTGAAGGTTTATAATTGTTATCACACACACACACACACACACACATACACACACACACACACACACACACACACACACACACTTATTTATATATTTATTTATATATATATTCAATTGTCCAGTATTGTAAAAATATATCGTTTTCATTGGTGTTGTGTCATATGTGTTTCTTGTAAAATTTTGAAAGGAATATAGATGAATTTGAATAAATTAGAATGGACTTGAAAAATTAGATGATTTAGATAATGGTGAGTCGTTTGAAAGATCTCAAACGTGTCAAAAGTCACTCCTTTGTTTGAAGTCTGCAGACTTTGACAGCTTTGTTCAGCAGTACTTCATGCAGAGGTTCAACCACATCGTTTCTTCGAGGTATGTTGTAGTGCCTTTGCTATGTTGACATCCAGAAAAAATTTTATTTTCATAATTTATTTTCGTGATTTTTTTATAATTTCTCAATTAATTTGTGCTGGGGTCCACTGTTTAAGTGAAGGTGGTTAAGTTGTGGTAGAAGTAAGAAGCTGACATATTCATTAGATAATACAATGAAGTTTTATCTAATTTGCGTTAACCGTCGAATCATTAAATTAATGATTGAATGGATTAGGTGGTCTTAAATGTTCTTACCATTTTTGGTAAAAGTGCCGAAAAAATGGGTTTCCTTCATTATAATTGGTTGACGTTGTTTAATGTACATTGCACATGCACTGTTTCGACACAATCCTCTGAATGTCATGGCCGACAGTTGCGACGACGCTCTCAAAGAGTCGATGAGGAATTACGTTCTGAACGGATCTATCAAGGATGTTTACTTGAACGACTTCAACGGCATCAGTGACAGCAATAACAATAGTAATAAACTGGGCACTACTGATATAAACAAATGCTTACATTTGCAGTCTTACATTGAAGCACAATCGCAACAACTTATGATGTTAGTGCTCTTTAATTTGGTGTTTTGTATTATTATCGTGTTATCTTATAATCGTGTTATCTTATCATTTCTTTCGTTTGTTTTTCACATTGGTTCATTTAATCTTTTTTTATGTACTGCACATTCTTGTTAGAGACACTTAGTAACTATGTTGAATTACAGGAAGTTTCATTATGACATTTTCTGTTCAATCATTTACTTTAAAAAAAATTTTTTGACATTAATTTGTACATTTGTTCATTGAAACGTTCTAATCCACTATTTGGCATTGCATTGGTTTGCTTAAATTCAGTTCTCTATTTATTATATATCTCTTTCGTTTGAACATTCATTTAGTAAGCTACATTTGTTGCTTGCTAGCTGGTTTATTTCTTTGAAACACATTTCAGATTCATTTCACACTTGAGATAGTGTAGTTAGACATTTTGCAACTGTATGTGTAACAAGCAATTTGTTGCAGTTGCATGTGTGACAAGCAGATGATGTCGTTTGATAAGCACGTCGATGACTGTTCAGCTGACGAATGATTAAGAAGGAATGATTCACGTGAAACAGACAAAATGATTTTATTTTAAAAATGTAAAAAATGCGCAAATAATAATATTTCCGTCAGGCAGGTGGAATGTTTCTTGAAGCAGGTGGACACGTGGAGGCAGCTGTTCGGTCCCATGACAACCTCTCCACTCCACAGGCAATCCGTTGTTAGTTATTTCATTTATCCTCTTATCTTGCCTTCTTTTCAAGATCGAATAATTCTGCTAAATAATTATGAAATTATTATAAATGAATTGGTTATTCCTTATTAAATTGTATACTTTGTATGGACCATTCATCTGATCTTGAATGCTTTGTAGAACATTCTTTTAGTTTTTGTTTGGAATTTTTTTTACGTTAATTAAGCGGCAAGCAAATATTTGGTTGACATGTTATGGCAAAATTTTTATTTTTTCCTTCAAAGACTAGTATGAGTGTGGTGATATCAGTTCCATTCGTTTCACAGTATACTTAACATTAAATGATTCTGGTGCCACATTTGGTTGATGAATAAATTGATTCAATTGAATGAATTGATTCATTTGAATGAAATGATTCAATTGAATGAATTGATCCTGTTGAACGAATTAATCCAATTGAGTAAATTGATTTAGGATGCAGGCAAGTTGAGTTTGGAAGATCTGTTGGCTAAAATGACTTCGTGCAAGATTGCAATATCAAACTTGGACAAGAAGGTTGGAAGGAGATTGATAGTAATAAAAACACGTGGATTGTTTTCATTCTTATGTAAATTGATACACTTCTAACAGTTGTTTGTATGTCACCTTTTTACAGCCACAGTTTCCTAGGAAACATTTAATACTGCATAATAACTACATAATAAGTTAATAACTGCAAGATAGGATGTTGCTAATTCTTTTAATTGAGGATCTGATGAATGCATAAACACAGCTATTTATTTCTTCATTGCAATATCCATAATATAGTTAAACTTTTGTATAATATTTCGTATAATTTTCTTGCCAATATTAACTATCTGCTTCAAGTTCTCAATTAATTACGATGTTGCTGTGGATTAAATATTGAATAATTGATTGAACAAATGATTAAATGGTTGGTTGAATGATTGATTGAATGGTTGATTGAACGGTTGAATGATTGATTGAAGTCTTTTTTCTTTTTTTAATGGTTGATTGAATATTTGATTGAATAGTTGAATAAATCGGTTGATCGATCGGTTGATTAAATGACTAAATGATTTATTGTATGATCGATTGAATAAATTATTGAATAATTGATCAGGCAAGTGCGAAATATAAGGAACTGATAAAAATGTGGAAGGAAGGAGGAGTGGTTGTTAATGACGATCAGCTGGCCTCATCGACTCCCTTAATATCGTCACTATCCACAGCCTTCTCGCTTCCATCCCCACAACTCAACCTGCCTGTCATTCCGTCCGCGTCATTCGATGCTAGTTTTTTTTTCGTTTGTTGTGCATACTCACCAAAAAATGTCTTGTAATCAAGTCGTATAATCAAGTCATGTAATTAGGCGTCACAAACGAGAACACCACATATATGCATTAAGCACTTAATTATTTATTTAACTAATTATAATAATAGTTAATATATATGTGGAAAGCTATTAACATGAGGTATCAGTTAAATGCATTAAAATGAAACATGATAAATACTCAGACAAAAAATTAAATAAGCTATAACTGAATAAACAATTAAGATATTTTAGCAAGGCTGAAGCAAATTGAATTGAGAGTACTATAAACAACGAGGTTAGATTGATAAAATAAAAATAATTGGCAAATAATCTATATATATTATAATCAATCAGTTTGTAAAGCGCGAAATTTTTAAACAGATGGATCTTGAGATCAGCTCTGAACTTTGTATGAGATGAGTCAGAGAAGGAGGTAAAGAGTTCCAGAGAAAAGGGCCAGAAAAAGCAGACGCAGATTTAGCAAAAGAGTGTTTAACATGTGTTAAGAGGAATTGAGAATGAGAATACGATCGTAAACGGGGACGTTTTGGTTTAATATATCTGACAAGTACTAGGAAATAATTTAGATTCAGACTTATAAACATTAATGTGCTAATATTAAAAATTATTTTATATTTTATAGGTAGCCAGTGCAAGAGAACAAGATATGGAGATATATGAGAAAAGAAAGGGACAAAGCAACTAGACAAGCAGCAGAGCTAAAATCTTTAATTAACGAATAGAGTGTACAATCAGGAAGATCATAGTAAAGTGAGTTACAATAACCAATCCTAGATAGAACTGAAGTAACAAGAAGTGTTGGATCTTCAAGGAAAGAGAAAAGTTTTTTTTTTATTCTACGTAGATGAAAATAAAAACTTTTAGCAACACTATTAATTTGAGAAGAGACATGGTAGAATTAAAGATGGATTATGCATCATTACCACACCGTTCATCCGATCGGGGTGAAACTTTTATCATTATCATTGACAGACCTCTCCTTGCTCGTTACGATTTATTTGACTCCAAGCAAAAAAACTAGATATGCAGAAATATTGTGCAAAATTAATCCAAATAAATAAAATCTTTAAAAATGAATAAAAATTGATAAACTATAAAAAGATTAAAATTTTGAAAATTTGCTTCATTGATACTATAGAATGACACCAGACCCAATAGCTGCATGCCAGTCTTTTTAAAAATTCGATATCTAACATTATAGCTTTTTTATTTATTAAAGCGGGTCAGCTGATGTTCTTTTAACATATTTTAACGAAACATATAAAGATTACTTACTTGTTCATTCAATATTTTGGCAGAACAAGATATTTTTTAAAGGATTTTATTATATGTCTATTTTTTTGCGCAATTATCAGATAAATTTTACTGGATCATTAACAATGACGACGAACACTGACGACACCTCCAATAGGTACGCACGGTTACATCGTTGGGCCCTCTTTCCAAACTCTTGCTAACTGTTGACATGATGGCGGGAAACTTGCATGCCCTCAAATCAACAAAAGATGCCATCACCAAAAAAAATATTTTTTCGCACGATAAAAGTTTGTTTTTCATTGTTCTTTTTTTTGGATATTTTTTAAATTTAACTTTTTGTTGAATAGATAAATAATTTTTATTTGGCATTTTACGTTTATAAAAGAATGTTAACAGTACATTAAAACGTCTAATTTAATCATGTACATCACATTAAATTTTTTTGAAACTACCGTGAGCCCCAAATATTTTCGAAACAAAATTAAAACAATTGTTGAAGCAAAGATATCGATTGTTTGGTGCATACATCAGATTAAGATGACACTTGCTTGAATGATGTGTTTTCTCTTGTGCACAGTTGAACAGCTTGTCAAAAGCACAACATGCAACACCAGACTTGATATGTTCGTGAACGGAATGAAAAAGAAAACGTATGTCTTTGATGACGCGAGGCAGAGAGAAACATTTTGTCAACTAATTCAGCAGTTGAAGCGCAAGCATTCGTCTGACGTCGATGTCAACTACGTTTCAATTTTCATTGGGTCCTGGAACATGGGTCAGTTCAATATTAATTTAATAATACTTTGAATGGTTGAGTGCTAGAATGGCATGCATAGTAAATGAAATTTATATAGAACCTGCTTCTGAACGTTCATGCATTACAAATTATTTTCGTTAGTAGCATAGTAGAAAAACTAAGAAGGGTTGCTTCACATGTACGCACTTTGAAGGCTGAAGTCACTCGATCCCTAATTTATTTAGTAAATAAAAAATAGAAAAATGCATTTACTGCTTGAATAAATGAGCAATAAAACTGGGATCTTAAAGTTCAGTAAAGTGGACTTTTTATGAATGGGCCAAGAAATTGTGAATGATTGTTATGAAGACATCAAAGATCTTAATGTTAAAAGACAGTCATTATTCGGTTTCAAAATTGTTGTAAGCAATTTATCAGTAATTCCTAAAAAGTGCCTTAAAAGAATCGGAGTCCACGATAATAGCTTTTTTTATGTAAAAATATAAGGTTAAGACATCATAATTGAAAATATGGTAATGTTTTGCCGTTTTTATATATTTAATTAATGAATGTTAATGAATGGATAAGCGGACTAATTGAGGGATAGAATGGATGGGTGTGTATAAAAATTAAAGAAGTGATACGTGCATTAACGTGGTTTCATTTTGTAGGCAGTGAGATTCCGATGTTCTGTTTGCAACCCTGGCTGAGATCGGATGGGTTGGGCAAAAAGAGAAGCAAGACCCTCGGAATGATAGGGCACGACATCTACGTCGTAGGCACGCAGGAAAGTTCTCTTTCAGACAAGGAGTGGTCTAACAGGATTCTGTCCTTACTCATGGAGTCTTTTGGAGAGGAGTATTACGTGGTATGTGTTGTCTTTTTGTGTTGTTTGTGGATTTTTGTGTTTGTATCTTTGTATGTTTGGTGGCCGTTTGAAATGTGTTTATATCTTTGGTGGATGTTTGTGTTTGTATCTTTGGTGAATGTTTGCTTGTCTTTGGTAGATGTTTGTGTTTGTATCTGTGGTGAATGTTGTGTTTATGTCTTTGGTAGATGTTTGTGTTTGTATCTTTGGTGGGTGTTTGTGTTTGTATCTTTGGTGGATGTTTGTGTTTGTATCTTTGGTGGGTGTTTGTGTTTGTATCTTTGGTTGGTTGATGTTTACATGTTTATATAATTGTATCTTTGTTCATGTGTCCCTCAAATTTTTTTCTTTTCATTTGAATCAAACCCAACAATTATAATAAATTGTGTTTGTGCAAACATTGTTCATTCAATTTTGAATTTTTAGGAGGAAACCTTTCAATTTGAAAATTATCGATGTAGTTATCTGTTAACAAAACTTGGTCTTTATCAAACCTATTCATTTAAATAAATTCTCAACAAAATTAACCATGGAATATTATCTGGATGAAATTGCTAGTGCTTCAAAAATAAAGAAACGACAAAACTTAATACGAGCTTGTTTAGAACATTTAATCACTCAGGTTCTGATAGCTTCTTTATGGTCCATCCGGACATTAATAATCGCAAAATCAAAGCATAAAAAGAAAATATCAAACGTCCAGCAGTCTACAGTTAAAACTGGTATCGCCAACGCTTTGGGTTTGTTATAACTTTCTATTCAGAATTTAAGATCTTTATTAGTTTGATAAATTTTTATTTTTTTACTTTTGCATTATAAGACATTGCCCGCAATCTTTTCTGCGAAACTTAAAATCATCTTGATTCATACAGAGTAGGATGCCGGAGTTGGATACAAATTAGTACGACTCCGTCACCAACTCCTTGATTGAAAGTTTTCAAACATCTGACTCCTAGTTCTGACTGCCAGAAAAATTTTTCAACTTTTGCTTTACGACCCCAATTTAACCTGTGATAAAATGAAAGATACATAAAAAATTAAGAAAAATTATTTATCTTTTCGTCAGTTTCATTATTTTACATTTATTCAAAATTTTTTTTTCTTGGTAACATGCTGAACATTATTGTACTTGTGACTGTATTAACATATCGTTGTTTTTTTGCTTCTTCGCAAACATGCAAATTTCATGCTTAAAAACATACTTACATCTTATAATTAAATAAATAATTAATTAATTGTCTGTCAAGTACGCAATATCTTTTACTCAATTAAGTTTTTGTGCAATTCTTTATCATGTTTTCAGATAATTACTTTTGGATAATCACCAAACTTCTGTGTGAAACAACAAATCTTTAACAAATCTTCAGCAAATTTCAAATGTTGAAATCTTTAACATTAGCAGCGAAAATCTGGCTAAATGGTCTGTGGTTCATAGAGTTGTTTCGATTTTATTGACTGCTTTGATGATAATCGTTCGCTCAAATTTTTCGCGACTAAATGCTGTCGATAAATAACGGAATGCACTGCAATCACCTCTGGAACTTTATTTTTCAGGCATGCTATGAAACCTTTGTTTAAACTTTAGTGAGAAAAATCGAAAAAACGAACTACAAACATACTAACGCCAATCATTCGGTAAAATTTATAGAATATTGTAAAAATTATGGTCTATTACCAAAAACTTTAGTGAGAAAAATCGAAAAAACGAACTACAAACATATTAACGCCAATCATTCGGTAGAATTTATAGAATATTGTAAAAATTATGGTCTATTACCAACACACACACACACACACACACACACACACACACACACATATATATATATATATATATAGATATATAGTTAACTTCCAGTATTAAGACTGTCAGAAATGCAATTATTGATGAAAAAAATTGAGTATTTTTATTTAGTAGTGATAATAAATGAAATTATGATGCAAGAGTTGAAAAAATTTTCTGAAATTTTTACCCGGAGTCGGAGTCTAAATTTTTTGAGGGAGGGGCCGGAGTAGGAGTCGAATATTTTTTTATATACTCCAACACCCTGTTCTGACCAGTAACACGCCGTAATAATTGATAATTAATTACTAACCTGAATTAATTACTGACCAATAAAAATATATAATTACTAACCAGGTAACAAGGGAGCTATGGGGGTGAGCTTGCATTTTGGTGGGACAAGTTTCTGCTTCATCAACGCACATCTGACATCTGGTGGAGAAAAAATGAAAAGGTTGTTGCTTTTAATATACTTTTAATTTATTTTTTAATTACTGGGAAATTAATTATTTGAAAATATGTTGAACGGAAGATGCAACAAACGCTTCGATGTTCTACAAGTGCATCCGCATTTGTTCTCAGGACGAGGACTAACCGCTTGAATTGATGATGGCGCGTGTGTAGACAATTTTTTGATGCTCTCAATCGTGTTACACATTTTTTTGACAAATTATTTTTTGTTACCACAAATAAATGAGGGTGTTTCATTCTAAGATATGCTAGGAGTGAAACAATACGAATTTTAGCTACTTTCAATTTTTTATAAATAAAGCATCGAAATAATAATAGTCCATTTTAAATCGCCTATTAAACTTTTACAGACGCAACGACAACGTGAAGGATATAAGTAGGTTCTTAGACATGGGTATGAAATATGGTAAAGACGTAACTAACAAGTTTCATCACGTCTTCTTCTTCGGAGACCTCAATTACAGACTAGACCAGCTCGACCCGCAGGTTGGAGATGTTTCTTGCACGCATGTTCATCTAGTCTTTTTTTTATGACTTCTTCATCCGCTTGAATCTGGCTCATTGGAATATAAAAAAAATAATGAAGCGTTGTATAAATGATGTCAAGGGCTGCGTTTTTAAAATTTCTTTTACATTGTAAACAAAATTCTCAGCATCATTTTGTACAATTTTTGCTGAAATTTTATGTTTTTCAACATGTTTTTGTGGCTTGCGAAATGCCGGAAATTTGTTTTTATGAGTGCATTCCAATTTTTTTTATTTTATTAGATTTGCATCGCGCAATGCAAAACCGTTTGTGATACAAACAGCACTGCGTTGCGACACGTCTCCTGCTTGCAAGATGGCTGAAACAAACAATTTTTTCATTCTACGAGTTTTCTTGCCGCTCGATGTTGCATTCCCGACGTAAACACGCGTTGTTATTTTTGGAATTTTAGCGTTTTTAACAGATGGTAGTTTTTTGCGCCATTTCAATTTATTCAACTTAGATTAACAATTTTATCGTTCATTGTCTGAAATTTTCAGTAAAATGCTCGTCTATGTTAATTTTTCACTTGTTAAATTTTGTTGGAAGTTTTTTACTTAACTGATGTTTTCATCCACGAGGTTTCCAATGTTTAGTTCTGGTGTGTGGGGTAGATTTGGTAACGTGGCAAAATGTGATTTTTGAGGTCCATGTTAACAATTGAACACTACTAATTAATTAATTAATTAGTAAATTAATTGTTAACAGTTAATGGCTAGTTAACTAACATAATTTTATTAACTTTATTAACAATATTATAATTAACTAACATGATTAGTTAATATATTATCAATGCTTTCAAATTATACTGCATATAAACTATTAAAAAGTTGAATGTTTTTAAATAAACATCTTGAAGACCATCGCAGAAAGTGTTAAGAATGCAGACGGCAACTACCAGCAACTGTTGGAGCACGACCAGCTGAAGCAGTGCATCAACAACAAAGAAGTCTTCACTCAATTCCGTGAACAATTTTTACTATTTTCACTAAATTTAATTAATTAATATTATTATTAGATTATCTATCTGTAAACCATCTTTTATGGCTCTCAAAAGCATTAGCTAAGTACAAATTGATTTAGTTCACAATGAAGAGGTGGGATTTTAACTTTTTCCGAAATTCTGAAATTGATTGCCCACAATTTTGTAAGTCGAGGAGTGATTTGTTCCGGATTTTAAGTCCAACAACAACAAAACCTCTGGCAACAACAGGCACTGAAGTTTAACGAACCAATCACAATGTGATGGCGTCTTTCTTGAAACAGCTTTGTTACTTTAAATACTATGGAGGAGTAGGTTAGTTGGAACAATTATACACAGATGGAACTGTTTGAAAGCAATCCCTCGGGGAACTGGCCACTAACGAAGATCGGAGGGTGGGTGGGTAGGGGTCATGTGATCAGCAGTGGGCTGAAACAAAACTGATTATGTTGTTGTCATCGGCATTATCTTATTATCGTTACCATCACCACTATCATCATCACAATCATCATCAACACCTTCGTCACCATCACTGTGTCATCGCTGTGGTTATCGGCATTATCTTATTTTAATTTTCATTATTATTATCACGTTATGCTGTCATCATGATGTCATCATTATGGTCACGTGATGTCCGCATTGTTTTTATTCGCGTCGATAACGATGATTGCAGAAGAAGAAGAGATATTGTTTCCGCCGACATACAGGTACATGAAGGGATCGTCTGATTGCTATGTCTGGGAAAAAAAGAAAGCGACTGGGGTGAGAGTTTCTGTTGTGTTATCTGGTTGATGTGCTGTCTGGTTGATGTGTTGTCTGATTGATGTGTTGCTTTTTCGCTGTTTACAGACTTCAGTGTAAAAACAATAAAATTTGTACTTTCTATGTAGTTTATGTTGCCTGTTTTAAACTATCCCTATCGCCAAGGTTCGCATAAATGTGCCATCCTGGTGCGATAGAGTTCTCTGGAAGTCTTATCCATACTTCTGGATCACAAACACATCTTACGGTTTCTTCATTGTTTTTTTACATCAACATCTCCAGCTACATTAATATATTAACATTAACTTTGTGCAATCATCACTGCCATCATCATTACCACACCGCCCTGTTCTACATTTGTACCCCATCATCGTCTTTTCACTACATCTTCATCATTTTCACCATCATCTCCATCACCACACCATCATCATCTCCATTACATCATCATCATCTCTATCAGGTTGCTGTAACAACGTTTGCTCCAGCGACCACAAACCAGTGTTCTCAAGTTTCGACGTTAAAGTGCGTTCGCCTCTGTTGGCTTTCTAAATTAATATTTGATTTTTGCGACTTTGCTGCTCTCTTGAAATCGGTGCTAATAAAACTGTTAATGCGTTTCAACCTCTTTGCATTAGAAAACATCTGACCATGGCACTGAACTGGCTTTTTAAAACAAAACAATAGAAAGCCTGCCAGACATTTTTATAATCCAGCTAATTCATTTATGCTGTAATCTTTTTCCGTAAATTATGCGTGTTCAGTACTCTTATAGTTTCATCTGAAAATATTTTAATAAAATGCAAACATAAAGATGTGAGTTTTAAATATAAAAGAATCTGATCATCACAGAGAAGCGAAATTTTATAAACTGCATCTTTCAGTATAACTTGAAAAAATAAAACTGATCAATTTCAATAATAAATTGGTCAACTGATTAATTTCAATAAAAAATAAAAAACAGTTTCCTTAATTTTATATGATCTGCTGACGTTCGATTGATGAAGGATGCATTGAAGATATTAGTGGTGCAAAGTAATTTTAAAAACACTGCTTGCACGAGCAGATCAACAACATGAAGCCCTCCTTCACACTGAACAGCAACAACAATGTTGGCCAACTCCTCGTCTCCTTCCAATTCATCAACCTCCAGGTTAGCATTACTCCACCACACTCGCTGATCTTGTAACGAATTCACTTCCTTTGTTTAATAGAATCTGTCTTTCTATTTTTAATTTGACTAGTTTCGTGTTTGGACTGTTGTAGCATTTTGTTCCTTATTTAAATTTTCTTTCATTTGAAGTTGAAATGCTCCCGGGCGGATATTTTAAAAGTGGAAATAGCATCGACCTGCATCGAAGGTTGAGCATTTTGTTTTCTTCTGTTATAAAACTTTTAATTCATAATGTTGAATGTCTGCTTTAAACGAAAACGTATTGTTAAATATTAAAATAAAATAGTTGTCATATTAGAAAATATTTAGTTCTAACTAATATAAAATCAATCAATGATATAAAACTTGAAACGTTTCTTGACTGGCTTATAACAATTGCCGTTAATAACATGCCAGTGGAGGGTTATGGAGTGCCGACCTGTTTTAAGCAGGGCCGCATTATTGCTGCATTAACGTTCACCTACACATGGACAATTGATCTTCAACAACAACAACAACATGACAACAGCAACATGACAACAGCCACATGACAACAACAACACGATAACATCACAACAACGCCACAAAAACAATCGAATACAGGATCGGTTGCCACCAAGCCATCGCTGTGTAAAGTTGAGAACGATTGCAACCTTAATTATCAGTGGAATTCTGATCAGATTCCTTTGGTTTGCTTTTCAATTTGGCTCAACGTTCATATCGATCAAGATTTTGTAGTTGAAATATTCTGTTGTCAATTGTGTGTGATGATGATTCGAAGTTAATGTGGTGGTGGTTGGAGCTGCTGTAGTAATGATTTGAAGTTGATGTGGTAATGATTTGAAGCTGATGTGGTAATGATTTGAAGCTGATGTGGTAATGATTTGAAGCTGATGTGGTAATGATTTGAAGCTGATGTGGTAATGATTTGAAGCTGATGTGATAATGATTTGAAGCTGATGTGGTAATGATTTGAAGCTGATGTGGTAATGATTTGAAGCTGATGTGGTAATGATTTGAAGCTGATGTGGTTATAATTTAACTTGCACTTCTATTCTAAGTTTATGGCAAATTTATTGACTAGTTGAGTCCGATAATTGACGATCTGGAGCAGCTGGAGGAACAACATCTACTTCTCTCTGTCTACAATGATGCTCTGGAATCGCTTGGTTGGTTGTATGATGCTCCGTTCAAGTTTGCTTACACTGATTATGATGATGACATTGTTGATGACAGCGATGTTGAATGCAATGACGTTGATGATTACAAGCATGATTATGATTCTGTTGCGATAATTTTTTAAAATGGATTAGGATGATAAATTTTATGGTGTCATCGGATGTGATCATCCAGCCAAGTGAACCATAATTTCATCAGATTGAAATATTGTGTAATTCGCGATCCAAAACGATTAGCGATTAAATTAATTTATCAGTTAAGAACATTATGAACATATTTTAAAGAGCTGCATTATTTTAAGAGAGGCTTTGCTATAGCCACAGAAAGTGATGATAATGTTGATAATGATGTAAATTCGAGTGTCATCGTTCATTGTATGACGTAAGTATTGTAGTAAGCATAACATTATGGTTATACACTCCCAATCATTCAATCGACCAATCTATCAATCAACCACAAACGTTTTCATAGCGCCCTTTACATACCTCAAAGTTCAAGCCGAAGTAATATAAGTCTAACCTCGAAACCGATGAATGCGTAACCTCAAGTTGGCTGGGCTTTGTTTGAGATTACCATCTGACGAGAAGAGCTTAATTATTGACGATTAGTTTTATCCTGTGATTTATCTGTTGATTAGTTATTGTGTTTTTTATTCTAACGATTTTAACAATCGAACGAACGAGTGATCGATTACGGCAATTGCCAGCTCTGTTTTCTTTCTAACAAAGTCATCTAAAATAAGTCTGCTTAGGAATCAAGAATCCACGTAAAGAGAAATAACCATACCCTACAATTTCAAGGGGTCGGTAATAACAATATAATCATTCTCATTTCATCACGTACACATTTTTTATAATGTGTTGTGTTGCTTACAAGTCGCAATTGCATTACTTTAGGTGCAGCAGTCAAATAACACAAGCTACAGGAACTAAATAATAAGACAGAACAAATAGGATGCATAAATTATACAATGATTTCAATTTGACAAATATTTGAAACCCATCCTTCATTTTTGGTAGTTTTTTAGTTGTCGGGGTCCAACCCACTTGTAACCTATAGACTAAAAAAACCCTGTGATCGTTTTTACACACAGGCCCAAAAATTTTAGTTGCGCTTCTGTTGGCAATCTATGATGCAAGCTTGATTACATCATTCATTTATTAATCAACTCAAATTTATTTATTTATTTATTTAAAAAGAAACAACTTGGACAAATCTCTTAACAACAAATTAAATAACATGCAGTCTCAACCGAATCAACAAAAAACAAAAAAATTTTCTGATTCAACACTCGAATGAACATGAACACTCGAATGAACGTAATGTCATACATAGTCCAGGCACACACCCCTAACAGAAAAACGTTAATGTTCAATGACAAATTACGCTGTAGTATTTTTTGTCTCCAAACTAATAACCAAGAAGCTACTACGAAATTTCACCATTATTACTTTCGTAAAAAGTCAGGAAGAAAAGAATAGAAAATCGAACAACTACCGGAAAGATTGCAGGGAAAAGAGATCGCGGTTAAAAACGAATAACATTCGTGAAGTCTTTGTGTCACCACATTTCAACTCTTACAAAGTGTTAAAGATCGGGTTTTGTGGAGGTCGATGGTCGCCAATGTCCTGAAAAGATAACGCACGAGAAAAAAGAAGGAAGAACAAGTCAGGAAAAGATAATCTGTTAAAACCAAATAAATCGAAGACTGTTAAATCATGTCATATGGGCAGAGGCACTAGATATTGGAATAGCATTCAACGGAAGGCTTTTTGATCAGAAAATTTTTAAATTAACTTGAAAATTTTATTATGATTGCTGATTATTATTATTAAGATATGATCATTATTAACAATAAATAAATATGTTATCTTTCATTAAGCACTAAAACTTTAAATGTTTTTTGTGTGACTGACATTTACATGCTGTGTTGACAATCGTTTGTTATGCATATATTTCGAAAGACGTATGGTATACGTACGTGTATGTGTATATATTTTGAAAAATATGATTGCGGGCAAATATTAAATTTAGAATTCGCCACTGTTATGAATAAAAAATTTTTGTTGAGGTGGATATTCTCGATGAGCAACTCGGGGATCTCTAATAGTCACCCCGTACCTTTGATTTGATTTGATAATTTTGCATGAGATCAAATAAAATATTTGCATTCTGTATTATTATTGAGCGTAAAAATGATTTTCATCCGTTAGGCGAGTGTGTGATAGCCTTGAAGTCAGGTTTCGATGCAAGTCCTCAGCTGGTGGAGGCAGAACTGGTGTACCTCGGTCAGTCGGCTGGCACGTTGAAGTGAGCATCTCTCTGGTCGTTTATTTGAAATTATTTTAAATATTTAAGCCGAGTTAAATTAAAACAGGAGAATTTATTTTGTGTATGTTTCACAATTTTAATTAAAACTAACATTTTTGACGTTTTTTTACGCTGTTCGCATTGCAAATGGGCTGTGTGCCAATAAAGGTGCTCCCTGCATATTATCGTGAAAGACGAGACAAACATGCAAGCATTCGCTAAAAGAAGAAAACCCAGCGGTCAGTGTTGTCATTGTGCTGGTCATCATCTGAAATGTGACTCAAATGTTGTGTGACTGGAAAAATTGAAGCATTTTATTTGATTTTATATGATATAATGGTTCACATTTTTACTGTCGTCTCTCTCATCAGTCATGATCATTATGACGATTTCTACAATGACTCTTGTAATTTGAGGTAACGCGAGGTGGTAGACCATGATGATGATGATGGCGATGATGATGCTGGTGATGATGAATATGGAAATAATGATGATGATTTTGATAACGATAATGAAGAAGGTGGCGATGATGATGCGATTGTTGCTGTCATTATTGACGTGCCATCCTTCCTTCCTTCCTAACTTTTGAACTTTCATGCTTAGAATTTTTATAATTGTATTTCATCTTTAAAGAATTAACTGACCATTAATAAAATAACGCCGATGGCGACCGCCGTATTGTCCTGCAGTCGACCTGATATACATCGACGCGGACTTCTTGCAAAAGCACCTCAACAACAGATCGACAACCTCCTGCATCTACGCTGATTTCCTCCCACCAACTCAGCCCAACCAACCAAACAAAACATCAGCGAACGTGCATAAGGTAACCTACCATCAACTAAAGTAATAGAGTGCATTTTATTTTTTGTAACTTTAAAACTTGCATTCACCAGTTGCATCAGGGCGTTCACAGTTTTGATTCCGAAAATAAAACGAAGCCGCCTGTTCTTCCGAGAAGAAAAAAAACATGGTAGCCACTTTGATTTTCAAATATTTCATCACGTGTGTGCATAATTATAATGGCGGTTTAGTTCAGTTCTCCAAGGTTGTTGGATGCAATTAAAACATGTTCATGCTTAGTTTTCGCAATCAACGTCACAAGTGTAACTCAACTGCTTCAAAACAAAAAACATCAGCGCCGTTCTACGCAATAAGAAGTAAAAATAATGCAGATTTTATTTTTCGTTCTGAAAAATAGATGGAGAACTCTGCCTTTCAAGAGGTATTTCCCCGCATGAAAAATATGCATTAAGAAAATGTCCCTGGCCCCGTTAACCAAGCACAAACTGTTGCTATGATTTTTTGGCGAACTTCTGAAGCGAAACACTTCATTTTGCTTTTCCTGTTGGGCGTAATTAAATTTTAAAAATTTACGCTATATAAATTTGATCGATTGATGAATCGAACACATGCGCGGAACATCCAAACTCATTTCAATTGAAGTTATATTTATTATATATATTAATATTGACGCTATATCATATTCAGATGGACCAATGCTATCCTGTTTGAACATCCTGCAGGGGTCGCCGTTGTGATTTAAAGAAAACATTAAGTGGTGATGTGTGAGTGCAAGGTTGGATGGACGGATGACTTTGCGTGGTGTGAATAGGAATGGATGATAGGTTTGGTTTGGTTAGGTGGATGGAGGACTTGAAACTTGTTTCTTCTTCAGTAGATGTTAGCTTCATTTCAAATTGTGACGTTGCGTGGAGGTAGACAATTTTTACGGTTGAACTGTTGCATTCTGCATATGATGAAAAGTTATCTGTGTTGAACAAATTTTAAAAACAAATTTTTGATTTTTATTTAGAATCTGCTTCGTAGAATTAGAACTAAATCTAGATTACTATATTAAAAAATATTATCATTATAATTTTATAATTAAAATAAAAATCTTAAAAGCGCTTCCTTTCAGTCGATATTGAACGCCAAGCCGTAAATATTTCTTATGGTCAGTTGAGTTACAAAACATATGCATGCAAAGGGGTGTTATAACTGTAAACGTTTTAAGAGCGCTGTTTAAAAAAGAAGCTCTTCTCCGAATTGTCCCACGCTCATTCACTATGAACGTCGGATGGTTGAACTGTGATATTTCTGTGCCACGAATGCACTCGAATTACACTTTGTTACGACGGCCTATAATTATCACTAATACAATTTACACCAAGTTCTATTTATTTGAATGGTGGAATGTTTATCGCACGTTTACGGTGTTAAAAAAACTGACAACAATCACCACAATCCTTAGCCGCATCCGCTAATTCATTTTTTTCCTATTTCACAATCGAAATGCACGTTGTGAAAGACTATTACATTCTACTCTCCTCACCAAACGTATGAACTGCTCTTTCTAACGCCTGGAGTTTTTTCAAACCTCGAACATCGTTATTTTGTTAAACTAAAAATAAAATCGAATGATTGGATGGCTCTATTTTTGCAACCATACATCTTCAACGAATGAACCAAATGAAATTTCATTAAGCAAATTTTGTTAATTGAAACAAAGGATGTTAGATTAAGTTGGTATCTCAACTGCAGGACTTACCACGAAACAGATTTGTTCTCCCAAATGCTGTCCACTAGTTAGCACAACTACCCTAGTAACACGCAAAACAAACTAGAAATCTTGTCTTTTCAAAATCAGACTAGCCACAACCGCAGTTATAACTTAGTCTCTATTGCGCGTATTTATATAACATTTTACACACACACACACATGCATGATTATATATATATATATACATATATACATATATATATTATACATATACGTGCAAACGAAGGTAACTAAACTAGTGAATTTGGCCGAATTGCAAAATAATAATACCGCTATCTATGGAGCACCAGTTGCACGAATGCTTCAGAGGCTTAAAAGATAAAAAAAAACAATTGTCGGACAAAAACAAAAAGATCAACAATTTGAACAAAATTTAAACGGTTGATTTACTATTCAGCCGAAGCCGAATACCAAAAAAATCCACAAATTTGAAAAAAAATTTGAATGAAAAAATAGCTATTGAAAAAAAAACAATAGGTGGGTCTCGTCTAACAGAGACACTAAATATTCAACCACTTGCTTCATTAGTGGCGAAATGCCGTCCAGTCAATTTTTTATGAATAAATTCTAACGGAGCAACTAATTGCAGAATACAAAGTTAACTGATCCACGTGACTTCAAGTGGGCACGTTCAGTTTCGGCACTGTCGATAACACTGAATGATTGAAATCTAAAAATCCTACCCTAACAAGTAAACAGGTTAGGTACGCTGTGCCGCCAAAAATAATTGAACTAATTTTAAAATGAGTTAATTAATTAGGCAGTTAAACAATTGAACAAAGATAAATTATAATTTAAATAACTGTTAAACCCACTGCAAATTGCTTTGAAGTATTACAAGTATATGGCAAAATAAATTTCGATTAATGAAATGTTTGCAGATGCCCGATTAAAACTTAAATTAAACAATCAAAATGTTTTAAAATAAGCTGTAAAAATGTTTAAAACTTCTTCTCAGCCATCAACGCCACCGAACCAACTAGTTTCAAACAACCACAACTCTACCCTCTATAGTGAACCAAATAAGATGGATAGGCTTGGGTATCGCCAAAAATGACAAACACTTTTGGGTTTGTGACGTCATCAACCAAGGAATGGTACTTTTTGTTTTGCTGGTTTAGCGGAGGAACCATGCACCTTGAAGCCCCTTTCGTAAAATCTCCAACTAAAACTTGACTGAGGTAGCAGTAGTAATCATTGGAAGGATTGGCGATCGCACTTTCACCTTCCAGATAATAGAAATCCGTGCTGAAATAAACTCCTCGTCCGTAATTGTTCACTGCCAGGCGAATTTAATTTAAATATTCAACAAAATGAGACAATATTTTAAGAGTTTAATAAATGAAACAAATTATTGTACCGAGACTGAGTGTTTTGCTTCTGTTGAATCCCTCACTGTTGATGTTCTGGAGGTAGTCTTGAGATGTTCTGTGCCAGAGGTGCTTAACTACCTCCTTGCCAGAATCTTTCAGTTCATTTTCCATTTTACACTTGTGAATAACAAACTTTTTGTACAAGGAAGGGTTCTGAATTCGTTTGACCTTCAACAAAATTATTAATTTGATGTTACGCTTTTTATTTTTTTGAACATACCTCCACACCATCCATTTTGAACCTCATAAATACATTTTTTATTGAAGCGCTGAAAAACTTAATCTAAACTTATTTGTTCATGAAAAATTTTTTCTCGTCTCCACCTCGATAAAATCTCCTTATTTTCACCCATTTTGGTTAATTAACCGCATTTAAAGATTTTCCTGCTTTTATATTTATTTAAAAATATTTTCAATAAAAAAACTTGCACGAACTTGAAAATAATAAGATTACAAAAAGCGAATTACGAAAACCAACAGTTTGATAGGTGTTAAAATAAATCATCAAACATCATATCATAATGCATTGACGTGAGACATTTGGATAACCTCTAGAATCTGCATGCTTGGCTTGACAGTGATCCTACCGACAACATCCTTGAACTCACGGCTGGTCACTGATAACTGAACCGTGTTGGAAACAACTGAATCAGGAACACTGCTCCAAATAAGAGGCAGTCCATCCTCTGTTACAAATTACAAGTTGTTACAGTCGAATGCGACCGTTCAATATATAAAATCAAGAGTCGTAAGAATGGTCATGTTTTTAAAACAATTTTTATTTTTACAAGACACTTATAATTTACGGAATGTAAAAAATAAACAAGACGCCCGTTTAGTATGATAGTTATGCGATAGTGATATGTAATGTGATGGTGATGTTGAGATAGTTGAAAACGTCTACTAGTCTTGCATTGAAGTGATCGACTTTGAAAACAAAGAATTCCACGCTAAATGTGCGCGATAAGAGTGACGAGTTATTTGACGCGAATTTACCTCTGAGTAATGCAGTACGTTATTTCAAAATACCAATCAGCTTTTAACAGACAATCAGCTTTTAACATTTCATGTTTCCCCTAATTTAGCAATGTACTTGTATGAAAGGCATGAAGAAAACTTTAAGGATGCAAAATTGGATGACATGTTTTAGCGCAAAAATATTCTCGCATAATTTCAAGAAAACTAACCCTTAGATTATATATTAGATTTTTTTTTTTTTGAACAGTTTTATTTACAAAAGTAAAAAGGTTCATCCTAGCAATAAAATACTAATTTATGGATGGCCTCATGAACAGAATATATTAATAAGGTCATTTAAATTATATCTAACTAAAGAAACAACGAAAACATTTTTGAATTAAATAAATAAAATTATTACCTTCAACGTGTCTTTTGATGTCAGTTACGTAAGAGTCGTTGATATTTTTCAGCTGCATTTTCTTGAAGTTAACTTCGAACGTTACGCGTGCCACATTTATGTTTATCGAGATTTTCTTAGCCCTGTGAGCCTTTTCAAGCACCGCATTTGTGTGTTTTTCAAATTTTTTGAATTCTTCTTCAGCAGTTAAATAATGCCAGGTTACCTAAAAAGTTAATGAAGTGTTATCTTTATAGTTAATTGCTACGGTTAAATATTGTGCAGTTTTCAACTGTCTGAAATGAAAGGTAAACTTCAATGGCACCCATAAATGTTCTTAACCAGCACTGTATGCAAGGTTTAAAGTTAACAGTCACTGAGAGTAAACAGTTAAACCAACCACTCCAGCACTTTGTTCTTCTTCTTTCAACTTTTCCTCCTCCTTCAAAATACTTTTCAGAATGTTGTAAATCGCACATTTGGCGTCTGATATGTTCTTTGTTAACCCTTTCAAACGAATGACTTTTGAATGAATGTCCACCTCTATTGTTACATGCAACTTTTTCGCAACATCATCTATTTCACAAGTCTGCAAATTGATTATTGGTAGCCCTAGGCTCATTACAAAACTAAATTATTCAATTTATTTCAAATTAATAATAATAAATAAATAGTGAGGGTGACAAATGCCGCATAAAAGCGTTAGCACATTCAAACAATGATTTGAGAAAATGTTACAAAATTGTTCGAAAACATCTAGGTGGCATAAAATAATTTGTTGGATTAGAAAATGTTTACGAAACAAAAAGTTAAAAGCATTGGTTGGTGGTGTATGTTGATTGCTAATCAGATGGTTGCTAGCATTTGCAAGATTCAGGCCGGACGATACATCTAGGGCCTCTCGTCCATTGTTACCCATTGAAGAAAACAAATAAACAAATTAATATAATAACAAATAATATACTCACCCTCTGAGGATTAAGTTTAGCAACAAGTTGGCCAACGAATTTAGGTTTCCATTCCTCTTCAGCGAACTGTTCTGTAATGTGGACGCTGATTTCTTTACTTGCTGATTGAATCTCTTCGGCATCAACGCCACTGATCAATATTCTCAAGTGGGATTGGTCAAAGCCATCATCGTCAGCAACTGTTTGTTCATTGGCAGCTTTTTTGATAACACTACCAGCTGCGTCAAGATTCGCTGATTCCCCAGGACTGGCGATGCTGCTGTGACTGATTACACTGAAAGACTTCTTTAAATCAAATGCACTTTTTTGACGCTGTGTTTCATTCTTATCAGCTTTAACTGTAAATGAACTATTTAACTTGGACACCGCATTCAAAAATGGTTGAATCATTTCACTCTTGTATACACAGACCGAAATTTCTTCTATGTGCTTAACATGCGTGGAGTCGATGAATTGAAGAAATGCTCGCAACATGACTGGCGCCATCTCTTCAGCTGAGGAGCCAAATTTACCTAAGTTTGAGGTTTTTAGAAATGGACGTTTACAGAATTTGAAAATCTAAAACTTATAAATTTTTAAATTATAATTTTATGCATAAAAGTTCGTTATACACATTCAATCTTAGTTAAAATCTTAGTTAATTAAGATATTTCAATAAACATTTAAATTTCTTGTAAAAGAATTATTCTCCAGTGTTCTGAATTATTTACTAAGAAATTATTGCAGCTATCAGTTCTACTTACAATCAAAATTTTTAAAAAGTTTTTCTACACTCAAACTGAATAATTTATTCAATTTTATATGTAGGTCTACAAAGCAAAGTTTGAAAAATTCCTCTATTATTTTTTAATTTTCGATTTTGAACAACTTGCAACATACTATAAAGCCAATAGAACATGAATCTACGTGATTTATTCCTTAAACGATCGATAGATAGTCAAAACGAAAAAAAATGTTTGATAAAGTGAAAACAGACCAGTCGCCAAGAGAGGAAAGACAACACTTTTGCAACCCTTCACATCAACCTCCTTCAAGCAGGAAACGATCACATCAAGCCACGATTGAACTTCATCCTGAGCGAGAACATGAGCAATGAACTTCGATTTGATTTGTCCTCCTGCTTTTGTGATGCAAACTCCAGAAGGAGGCATGCTGGCTGTTGTTCGTTGTCCGCACGGAGGAAGCGATTCATTTGGAATATGTCAGTTGAATTTAAAGTTTTATTAGAATTGCCTGGGTCTTAAAACTCATCAATAGATTTTGTTTATAAAACTCATGCAATTTAAATGTAATGTAATTAAAAGATTATTAAATATAAAAAATAAAAAGTAGCAAATGGCATATCTTTTGATATGTAATAAAATTTGTGCAACTGTATTATATGCAACTTCAATAGACGGAGTGCAACCAACTGCTGTTAACCAGTGGCGGATCTAAAGGGACCAGGCCATTGTTGTAAACAGTATTTTTATTAGAAGTCAGAAAAACATCGTTTCACAAAGAAAATCGATCAAAAATTGACGTGATAAGCAAAAAAGTGGCCAGCGTAATTTTGGCCAAACTAACTCAAATTTCGTTAGTTTTTGGTCACAACGATGATAGGTTTAATTTTACTTTATTCTACAAAAAATCTTATAAAATGCATTGTTGGTATGCAGTTTAGAAAATCTTTAGCTTCCTTTTTCTAAAGCTAAATTTATATAAAATTAATAGTTTCATAATATCTCTGCCATTAGTAAACTTATAACGAAAAAGAAGAGACTGACCAGACAGCATGTTGTCCTGCAACTCTTGGCCACCTTTCTGCGCGAGGATTTGTGATACAGCTCCGAAGCTGAGGTCTAGGTTCTCGTTACTGCTAGTGACCAGAACATCTGCATGCACGTCTGTAATATCGCCGCTAAGCACTTTCAACCTCAACTTGTCCAGACGAACGTCTCGAACGTTTGACACTGTCAAATTCATTCCAACGTTTCGTATGCAATATGTTTAAAAAATGATGCCTTAATTATAAGTATCTTTCGTTTGTAACATTAATGTGACTATTATTGTCACCATCAGACGTTTAATAGTATAACGGTATTAAAAGAAATTGACTGAAATGAGAAGAACAAAATGATAGCGTTTCAACAAAGGAATAGAACTGTCATCAAACAAATCGACACAAGAATCATGAGATAACACTAATTAAACCACACAAAGACGTTTTCAAAACTCAATAAGCAACTTCATATCCACAAATCAATCAATCAATTTTTCAGCACATTAAACAAGTTTTTTTAGGTCAAGAAAATCAAGCCGTAATCATGTCATCCAACAAATGTTTCCACTAATTTAACACACACACACACCGCACACACAAACACCCCGAACACAAATATACAAATAAATTAACCATCAATATTCTTGATATTTTCAAATGTAGGGTTTTCGGAATGGTTTTTCCTCTCGATATTCTGGAAAGCCTTCAAAATCAAACGCAACATAAAATAACAAAGTTATCTAAACTAAAATAAAAAACTTCATGAAGATGCTTAAATAAAAATGAAATTTTAAAAATTATTGAAACAAACATTTAGTGATTCAAAATCTTTTGGATGAACTACAAAATAAATATTTTGAAGAGATGAGCTTTTGTTGGCTTTCAAATATTTCCTGGCCTCCTTAAACATCCACGACGCTGCAAGGTGGGGCGGTGTTTTGAGGTTTCCAGTTCCCAACGCAGGAAAAGCTATGGTCTTGTAGTTCTCCTCTCTTGCTTTGCATAAACAGTCTTTCACTATTTGTCTGATAACCTAATGAGTACATTAATAAACAAGTGATGTCGTTAAAACACTTTTCAGAAGAAAATTTTGAAAAATTCAATGTTCAATTATTTGTAACTAGAAAGCTATTATTTGAAATAT